TGGTGTTCGTTAATGATTTCCTAGCTATATACCATATATCCTAAACCGACCATACTAACTACATTCGACAATCTCTCGAGGAGAAGTTCGAGATAAAGCATATTAGTGAACTTAGCTAATTCGTAGGAATTCGAATCACACGTCACCGACTATCTCGAAAGACCTAGCTGAGCCAAGGTGCCTATATAGAGAAGATTGCTAGTAAGTTTAACCTTCTAGCTAGGAAACCTCTAGCCACGCCCTTACTATCTAACCTTTCCGGCATTCTCTATCCTACCGAACACCCTCCGAATCCTAGGTTAGTTAACCTATACTAGCAGAAGTGTGGCTTAACGCTCTACCTAGTAATTTAGACTAGGCCAGAGACTACCTTTACTAACTAATTGCTTACTCGCTCGCTTACACGCTGCACTGACCGCTATCTCGAGGCCGTTAACTACCTAATCTTATATCTCTATAGGACGAAAGACCTGGTAATCTGTTTTGATAGCCAGAAAGAGATAACTATATATACCGCCTACTTAGACGCCAGCTTTACTAATAATGCTGACCGTAAAAGCTCTGAAGGTTTTCTCTTTTGCCTGTTTGGTGGCCCTATCGATTGGAAGGCTAGGAAACAAAAGACTGTCACCATATCGATCACAGAAGCTGAATTGCTTACGCTTAGCTACGCGGCTAAGCAATCCTATTAGATAAGACGCTTATTTAAATTCATCCGATTCGACCCTAGCTATTAGGATATGATACAATACGATAATAAGCAGACGATTGACCTCCTAACCAGAGAGAGATCTATCTTCTAGACCAAGCTTCGACATATAGATATTCATTAGTTATGGATTCGCTAGGAAGTTTAGGCGAAACGCCTGCGTATTGAATGGCTGAATTCGTCCGACCTACCTGCTGATGGCCTAACCAAGCCACTTAGCCGCCAGAAACATGAGATCTTTATGAGACAGATAGGTATAGAGTACTTACCATACGACCTTATGTAGTTACTTTTATCTCTAGCTTATCAGTCCTCCGATCTGAAGACCTAAGGGGGTGTGTCAGCCTATGTGGGTGTGTAGGGGTATATGCTTATGTGTGTGTGCTTATGTGTTGCCTGAGGGCCCGGCAGCCTGCCGGGCCGGACCATTGTTTTTCCCCTGCAGAAAGCCCCTCTNCAATAAGATAGATTGAAAAGTGCATTAAATCTGAACTGCTAAACTAGCGAGCGAACGGGTGTTTAAGTACACGATTGGGGCAGTTTAGGCAGCAGGAAATAGACCAAATCAATGATCTAATCGATGATTCGATCATATATCGATGATCTGACCAATTGATAGATTAGGAAGGAGCTGGATGTTAGAATCCATAGCCTAGATTGGCCGATTCGTCATGGTAGAACTCTCTGTTGAAGAGGTATATGCAGAGGGGTCCTTCTGCAGGAAAAACGATGGTCCGGTCCGGGCCGTTAGCCGGCGGGCCGCTGGTCAACCAACTTCACATAGCCACATACACACACATGCACATGCTGACAATAAGTATATGGTTTCTGTCAGCCTATGTGGGTGTGTGGGGGTATATGCTTATGTGTGTGTGCTTATGTGTTGCCTGAGGGCCCGGCAGCCTGCCGGGCCGGACCATTGTTTTTCCCCTGCAGAAAGCCCCTCTATATGCATCTCTTCAACAGAGATATCGACCATGGCCTAATTGGCTATTTAACTAAGGATCCCGACGTCCTTTCTACACATTTCTATCCTGCATTAAGATCTATCAGATTATTAGATCTCTGCCCTATTTCCTTGCTACCTAAACCACTGCAAATCGTGTATTTAAACGCTCGTTTACACCACTGTTTAGCCAGCAGTTCAATCGACTTTATTGTTCTCAAGACATTCTTTCCTTTCCTAGACAGTAGGATCCTATGACCAAGAGGAAGCTACTGCCTAGTCCCCTTTCGTCCTATGTGGATCAGCCCCCGATACACTAGGATCTGTCAACTCTGCACCCATAATTGCCCTCACACCACACCATATTTTCGTCGTGGCTATTAATAACTATTAGAGGGCCTTTAATAGCCGTTTAAACGGCACTTATATAGTTTCTTTACTTCAGAAGAGCCTGGTTGTCTATACAAAATTTCAATAGTAAAAAAATAAGATGTGTTAGCGTTACTGCTCAAAACCGAATTACCCCGGAGTTGTGTTAGCCTTATTATTATGGTGGCTTAGTCGTTCCTAAGCGTAGGAATGGACATTCTAGCGCCTAAGAGAGCTAGGTAAGCTGGGTAAGCTATATTGATCCATTACACTATATGTCCCCTATTCATCATGTATCCTAATAGACCTTTCAAGGTTACCTATTATAGCTCTTAGGAAGTCAAGATTATTCTAATCTAGTTAGGGCTCCTAGGAGCGTACATTCTCACATCGCTGTGATCATCTGTTAGCTGCCTTATACTAAGACAAATGTAATTAACTAAGATATAAATAGCTAGATCCCTTCCTAATATTCTAGTGTATATGTATTAATTTCCAGGTACTATAAAACTTGATTTAGTCAAACAGGTATTAGTTTCCTAATCCCCTTTCGGGTTTGCATTACTAAGTATTGGCTACTAAGACGACATAGTTCTCTGAAACTTCAGCTTATAATGGCTAATCGCTAGACGTTAGGTTTAGATAGCCCTTAAACTTCGAGTATTAGTGGCAACGAAGGTCACGATTCTAGTATGGTGGATGAAAATGATTCGGATGCAGATATCATTCTGATGAGCTCAACTGAGTTCTGGAACGGAGCGAATGTGGAGAATCTCCCTATTATACCAAACAGCCTAATGCCTAAGGAATCTACTCGTGATTCAACATTTGCAAATTATCCCGGCTGCCGGAGCTTCGACTGTACCTGCCTTTTTCAAAACCCAGAGATGACGTATGGTCAGCTGGCAAAGAGGAAAATTAAGACGAACGGCGTTGAATCAGGTTAACTTCGCTATGAATCGGTGTGTTTTCATAGTAGTTAAACTAACATAGCGAGAATTTTAGGATCGAACTTGGTTCTAGACTCGGATTAGAGTACAAGTAGCTGGTAACACAGTAGTAAAGGCTTCAAGTACTTTACACAGTGAAGCCGCTCCCCGGTGACAAAACAGCAGTCCTCACAAGCGAAGTCACACACCTATTTACTATCATCATAAATATGAATTCTTGTACTAGTCACTTCGGCCGAGCAGTAAACTACTGGTCCAATAGAGTTTAAAACTGGGATCCATGCGGGGATGACTGCCAAAATTGTGCAAACCCCGCATTCATGCACAGTGGGGGTTAAATTAACATGTGGAGTGTGACTTATCAACTTTCAGGCCGCATCCATCACCGCTACCGGAGTTCCAAAATTCCCCACGGTTGACTGGAACACTAAACAGGCCCACAACATCCCTATGAAGTTTGTCAAAAGCTTACTTTTTCAGAAAGAATTTCGGAACCTCCATCAAAGGCTGCCCCAATTCAGTCGGTCGCCAAGGAGGTTTACTTTTGTCAGTGCTCGAGGCTGGAGCAGATCTAGAGGAGACGAGGGAGAAAAGAAGAAGCATACGCAGTACGAGCTAGCGGACGCAGTGGGCTAAGGAGAGCAAAGCAGACAAAGCATTATGCTTTTGTGGTGGTTGTATGAGAGAAAGAGAGAGAATAACAAAGAGTGAGGTATCAGCGTCACATGACGTTCCTGGGGTAATCCAAGCGCTTATATGTCAGATAGAATTCTTGATTCTTCATCATTTACCTATTGATAGCGTGATGCCATAAGATTTCATGCTGATCTCCCCTACGTTCCTGCCTCCCAATGAAAAGCGCTGATTTACGCTACGGAGTTTATCACGTGACTCCGACAAAATTCAAAGTGACAGGTCACATCGAATAAGAAGTCCGGCTATTTGATGCAGATCCGCTGCTACGTCCGCATGTGCCGTAAGCCTCGGTTACGGAAGCGAAGGTGGCTGCCTCTAGCGTCTTCATTGGTTGATTTTGGCTTAGCTCGTGTTACGGCAACGGTTAGATAAGTACGGAGGTCCATTTCAAAAGAAATGAGCAGCGCATTGACCACCACTATTTTAAAATACTATATGAACATCGTTTCCAACTATACCCTAAACATCTTCCCAATCACCCTGCTTCTCCCTACCCTCTTTATATTCATTTCCTCCTTCTAGCTTTATAATCTGCTTTATATGCCAAGGAATGCGCTTAATCCATTGCTGGATCCTTTCCTGTGGTAGTTCTTCCCAAGCTGCCTTCCATGCATTAAAAGCTTCCTGCCTAGTCTTCGGTGCTCCCTTGCGTGTTATTCTTCGCTTCATCCAAGGCCACGCAGGCTCAATTGCATTAAGATCAGGCGAATTAGGGCACCAGAGTAATCGTTGTACCTGCGCTGCATCAAAAACACGCTGTTGGATATGATGATTATGCGCTGGTGCTTTATCTTCTTGAACAAGCGTTCCTGGTCTTTCAATAGCACATTCTTGCGCAAATGGAAGCAATTTTGGTAGTAAAATAAGGCGTTGATATCGATACCAATCGATTCCACCTCGCTTTCCACGGCCTAATTTACTAGTCTTCGCAGTAAACTTCCATGTAGGCTTCCTACCACTAGGATTTTGACGAAGATTTAGACGTCGTACGCCAGTCTCAATCTCCCACGCAGTACGTAGAGTAGGTTCAATCTCGTTATTTAAACGTTCGATTTCCTTCTTAGCATCACGTTTTTCTTGCGCAGTCTCTGGAAGCCAACAATGATAGGGCCCTTTCTTGTTATAAGAAAAGCATCCCCAAAACATAAATTCAGAAGCGCCTTTCTATCGTTCGCGAATACAAGATCGTAAGAAACGCTTATCTTTAGTTCGCCAGATCCGATAACCTCTACGTCGGTGTAGAAGAATCACTAATGTTTCGTCAGAGAAAATAACGTTTTTCCAATCTTCTAAAGTCCAGGATTCGTGCGCAAGACACCAAGCAAGACGCTCAGCACGCATCTTCTTCGTCAATCCAGGCTTCCTCGTTGGCTTCGTCTTCCGAAAGCCAGCGTTCTTTAACACACGATAGATCGTTGTACCGGAGATGTTGATTCCTAGCTTGCTAAGATCACCTGCGATATCAGCGCAGGTCTTTTCCCGGCCGTATCGATCTAGGCGCACCTTTGATAGGATAATATTAACTGTAGAAGGATCTTGCTTGGTAGGCCTACCAGAACGAGGCTTATCTTCGACATACTGGTTATCAACCATCGTGCGATGCGGATCGAATCCTCGCTTAATTGCTTCTGCATAGATTCGATTCATAGAAGGAACAGACAGATCGGTGAGAGCAGCGATCTTAGCAGAAGATTTAGGAGTATAGGCCTTTAAAGCAACTACCGTTGCGCGCCTAGCAATTGTAGACTGCTTTGCCATGTTATCGTGCTCGTGGGGTAGTAGGAGTAGAGGAAGCAGAAATAGAAGAGTAATGGGGATATGTGTGTGTGTATTCGCGTTGTAAAAGACTAGTGGTAAAATATTAGTGGTCAATACGCTGCTTATTTCTTTTGAAATGGACCTTCGTAGTGGTAAAGGGAATTCATTTATTCTTCCGGGCCTAATGTAGCTCTTAGCCCTCTATCCGGCCCTGCGTCATGTACTCGCTACTCTACAGGTCCGACGATGGGTGTTGCTTTCTAGCTAAGTACCTCTAAGTACTATACTTCTACTCCTAGGTGAGCTCCTATCTAACCTGCCGCCCCTTTTATTAGGGCGATCGGTGTTAGGCTAATAGAGTAGATTTCAATCAGGCGCATACTGCTACTGCTCTCGTAGCCCCGTCGTGGCGTGATCTACCCCATACACAGATACAAGCTTAGATTAAACGTATCTCATGGTATAAACAACAAATTATTCAACTAAATGGGGGTAATGAATACCGTGAGGGACCTGATATAACAGGTCAAATAATCAGTAATATATATCTAGTACTAGTTCAGGTGCTCAATCAGGTATAGGCTTTGATATTTGGATTAAATTCTTACCAAGAATTATCCATGGAGATCCATGGATTATCCAACTACCTGAATTCTGCCTGAATTCTGCCTGGAATGGCCTGAATTATGCCTTATTTCGCCTAATTATGTAAAAACTAGGCAGAAATCAGGCAATTAGATATTTATGGATGGATATGGATATGGATATGAAAATTTCTTAATGGATATCCAAATATCAAAGCCTAATTAGGTGACAGCACAGCGATACTAGTGGGCGGGAGGATAAGTAAATTTTCGGCATGTAATTTGCTATATTCCGGTACTATATTTCGGGTAGCTTTCCTCTACATTTCAGCATATATTTCAATACATCTATATTCGGAATAGCGTAGATTTTAGCGTCAGACAGAATTTTTGAAACCGACCTCCGTACAACCACGAATTTTCCCTGCCCCACCAGAGGCCATCAATTCCCGAGGTCCCTGTACCAGACGTGTTCGGTGGGTCAGGAAGGAACCGCCTTGGGCTCTCGCAAATTCCAAGGTATTTATTTCAAATGTCAGTTGATGGCGGTTCACCGCGACAGATTGACCTTGCCATCGCTCTGAAAGCCCTACCAAAATGCCAAGCCTTACCAAAATTTCCCTCACAAGTCTGCCAATCGAAATTCTGAATGGAATTTGCAGCTATTTAGAGCAACCGGAATGGGCCGCACTCAGATTATCTTGTCGCTCCCTTTACGCAAAATCTTCGGATGCCTTCGCAGATCGCTATTTCAGAAGTATTTGCTTCATTGCCACCAGCGAAGGCATTCGACAACTAGAAGAGTTGGCACAAAGTGAAGCCGTCCGAGTCCGAGTCCGACAGTTATGGATGATTCCGACCGTCTTCGAAGGTCGCCATGGGCAGAGCCTTACCGAGTTCAGGAGGTCTCATTATGGAAGAACAACGAGTGACGTTAGGAAAACACCGAGTCACGTTGGGAAAACACCGAGTCACGTTTGGAAGAGTGATGATGCGTTACTTGCTCATTATGCCATCTATCAAGCTATAGAAGCCGATCATCTGGCTCTGCTTCAATCAACCACCCTTGGCTCTAGGCTTCACACTTGCTTCGCTTCGTTCAGAAACCTCGAGTCCGTCGGATTAAAGCATTATGCGACGAACTTTTTACTTGATCGGCGGCAAGCGGATTTTCGATACCTTGGATTGCAGGAGTTAAGAGATCAAGTTGAATACGTGTATCACCAATCAGGCATGGATCTTCTTCAATGGCACCAGGTAGCCAAGGTCAACTCTCTGGCCTTATCGAGGGTTTTACTAGGCCTCAATGAATCCAGTCAAGATTTTAGAGCCTTGAACACATGCGGTGCCAACTTCTGCGGCTCCACTTCTCCTAGCCTTCCTCTCACGGATGAGCAATACAACTCTGTTCTTCTCAAACTTGGAAACCTGGAACATCTTCATATGTGCATCTGTTATGACGAGGACGACCTAGATTGTCCTCCGAATTCAAACACCTATATTGATCTTTTTATTTCCGTTGCACCCCAACTGACAACTCTCGTTTTCTCACAATGGTATCGAAGTCCACGCGAGATGGGAGAACAGTTTTTAGAGCTCTCCCAGAACATCAGGTTCACTCGACTAAGAGAGCTTCATCTCCACTGGATTGAAATTGGATTTGAGTCATTCAAATTATTCCTTAACACCACCAAAGGAACTCTAGATTCTCTCTCACTCGAGCTGGTGACTCTGAAAACCAACACTGCCCTGTCCACTAATTCAGAGCCGAGTGGTTGGGAGCAGATATGGGAATCCCTTGGAGCGGAGTTGTCACTGAAAAGTTTTTACATGGGAAATATTGGCTATCGGAGACGAAAGGTGATGATTCAAGGACCTGACGAGTTGGCTGAACCGACATACTCTGTTACTTTCAATGCATATGTAACCGACATATGTTTCAATGATTGGATCCGGCAGCTCAAGCCAATCATTTTACGAAGTTTCGATATATCAACACGAAGCTATCCAGGTTTGCAGCTCACTAAGCCCCCGAAAGTCACGGCCTTCTTCTAATATCAATTGTTAGACTCGCTTCGTTTGAGGAAACCTCGATCAAACGATCCACCAGCTTCTGGCACTCAAATACACGAGAGACGCCCCAAACCCCTAGGATTGGGACCAAAGGATATTAGGTCCCTGATGACCTGTTACCCAGGGAGACTACGACATACGTGAGCCGCTTTCACATATCAAAATAGTTATTACATCAAGTCCGGAGCTGGGGTTGGGGTTGGGAGCGATCATTAATCACGATTGAAAAACCTTGAACGACCGATATGACGACAGTAAAAGGGGCGGTTCAATCAAACTGGTAGCTCATAATTATACGAATAAAACCACAATGTTGCGTTGAGTAGCGATGGGTTATGCTCGGTAGCACTGCATATGTGGGAGAGCCCCTTTAAAGGGGCCCGAGTCTGGCCAGCCCAGCCCCGGGCCCGTACCAACGAAGGTGAATAACCCAACATTGAAACCTTTATAATAGTCATACATCCTCCTTTCAATGTGGCTGTTGAAATCCCTCCCAAGCACTTTTGGCCAATCCAATGATGCTACTTCTGAGTAACAGTAAATTATGCAATGTGATGTATAAATATTCGTAAGCGAACTAGGGCACAGTTCACGCTGTGTACGGCAAGCGACGATTACTAAATTGATTAAACAAATGTATATTTTGATTAATAATTCAGGGGTGTAAATAACATTGTCAATCAGTAGACAAGGGTGGTTTACTTACCTATAATGGCCAGATTTGAACAGGTCAGGAATGAATAGGCTTGAAATCTTGAGAGTAACAGGCTTAAGCTGAACAGGCTTGAGATGAACAGGCTTGAGATGGACAGGCTTGAGAGTAACAGGCTTAAGATGAACAGGCTTGAACCATAGGAAGATATTGAAGACCCAAGATTACTATATGTGGTCTTGTATTTTCCCTGTTCTAGTTTGACATTGAATACCTCTGTTGTTCCACGATTATTACTATCCTCCGTGTACTCTATAGTACGCTGTCGCAGGAACAGCGTACAATTAAAGGCCGTGATGAACTACCTATTTACAGGAATTAAACAACGTTGATATTTTTAGATTTTGGATTCTGAATAGGTGTTGCTAGTTCCGCGAGGGGGACAAAATTTCGTGTAAAAGTTAGAGACAGAGCTTGGCTTCCTCAGCTTGAACTAAGTAATAGTCTCTAGCACCGCGAAGAGGTGTCTGTTATTTGCTGGAGGGCGGGTGTGAAACGTCTTATCATAGCCCGACCTGGTACTTGATCCAGGATTTGTGCATGACCGATTTGGTCTGTATGTGGAACTGAATCCGACCTGGAGCGTCCTCTAGGATTTATGTATGGACTATAGCCTCGACCTTAGTGGGCTTATAGCATGAATACTATAGCCTCGACCTTAGTGGGCTTATAGTATGAATACTACAGCCTCGACCTTAGTGGGCTTATAGTAGTAGGATTACTAGTAGACACGCTTAGACGTGGCTTAATAGGTGATAAAAAACTCTTCTGAGCAGCAGACGGCTTACTATTTAAGCTAGGAACTAAGGGGTGTAGTAGATGCTAAGAACGTAATGTGGGCAGAATCTAAACGAGTTACGAATGTGGCGCTATTTGATCCTTATCATTCTGACCTACTAGCCTATTAACCGTCGGCTTGGAGTATAGTTAGATATTCGTTACTCTTACGTCTATGACCACCCGTGTACTACTAGAAAATCGTGCCGTATATCATATACTCACCAGTATGAGTGTCCTTTCTGATTATAGAAGACGTTCTCGTTAGTACACTCTAATAACCCCCGCTCCTGAAGATTTAATAACTAACGGTATTTCGGAAATTGCTTAATAGGGAGTATATTGAATTTAGTCCCTATATTTCCTATTTTTGGAAATGCAAAACGACCTATTGCACTATAAGTATATACACGGTCTTGTTACAAATCACGATATCGATTCTCGAATAACCGAAGTGAATGAAAATCTCGCCTGGTATAGCGGGTTAAATATATGTAAACCGAACGCTAACGTGATAGTTTTTAGTTATGTTCCTTTCTATTCCTAAAGTCTATAAAGATACGTCGCTAAATACGGTAAATAAGCGGAGTAGAATATGAATAATTTCTTTTAAATTTAATATATATGCCTTGATGAACCCTTCCCTACTTTAACTTAGAAGTATTGTTGGGAATGGGAGGTAGGTTTTCTTTAGAAGTGGTGTTTCCCGATGGAAAGGGTCTTCGGCAGAAAACAGGTGGAAAGGTCTAATGGACACACACAACAAAGAGGTATGCAAAAGATAGGATTGAAGAGAGACGGTTCATGAGAAGGCACGTAGTCAGCTTGATTGACAAAGAAGAAGGGTTATGTCAAGTATGCTCGAGAGCAGTTCTCATGTCATGAAGAGATGTCAAACTTGATTCAATTTAGTTAGAAAACATGGTGATACTTATATCGCGGGGTACACGGCAGAATGACAAATAAAATAGAAGGAACATCCTTGGAGTGTTGAGTAGTCTCCTGCCTAGGTAGGCCATTGCATGTAAGTGTATGCAATTGTATGTAAGATCGTTGAGGATCAATCTGATCGATCTCGTCGTCCGACGAGGAGGTCAAGTCATCCAATGAGGGGTAAGAAAAGTGGGTCCTTGGTCGCATCTCGACCGCACAAAGGGAAAGCCCCGCATTTGCCATTCAGATGCATTTCAATTCAGCATGCATCTACCATACATGCTGACAGTATATATTATACGAAGTGGATATTCCAAGTCATACACTATATAATCGGAGTCTCGGTTATTCTTAAGCCACTTCTGATTGACTTTCCATCCAATTTCCCATAGGGCTGTCGTTAATAGGAAAAGAACCAATTCAATATACTAGAACTGGGAATTAGAATAGGATAATTATTTATAATTTGTCAACTTACTTCGTATCGAAGCCCTCTTTCTTGCTTATTCTCATCGGAAGGCATAAACGATCCAACTCTTGCTCCTATAAAGAGATACAACTGAAGTGCGAATAGTATAAGAGCTTCAAGCCCTCCAGGAATAAACTTTTAATAGTCAACCCGCCACATCGAGGAGACAACTTTCAAAAAGTCTTCCTTTGTAAAGTTATACTTTTGCTTTTTTTTATTCACCACTTTACCGTCTTTAGTTAAGGTATTTTTGATCCACTACATCGAAAAGGGTTAAGTTGCCGAAAAAGTGAGATAAGTAAGGACTGACACTATATATCTCTTCTCTGTCTGTTTCAGAGATCTCTATACCGGTAGACTCTTTAAACCCACCGAAGAAACGCTCCGCCCACGCTTTAGCTATTCTCACTATTAGTTTCCCGCTCTTACAGAGTCTGCCACTAGTAGAATTCGCATACCACCGAATGAACTCTTTTACCATTTCATGGCTTAGAGGCAAGCAACCTAAAACAGTTTCATAATCATCAAATCCGTTTTCTGGGTCTGCAGTGAAGCTAAGAAATGATTAGCTCCGCCATCAATCAATCTTTTCTGTCCGGATTTCAAACTCACTCAAGCCAGAGACTCAAAGTTTATTAGTGTAACCTTTTAGTCCTTAGAAGTTTTCTATCCTTGTCTCGAACAGCATCTTCCTTTTTGTAGGCTCCGGGGATATACCCATTTCTCTACCGTAAGAAACGGCGTCGTTCTTTAGCCTTCTCATCACGCTTGGAGAAAAAGTCTTTTCGACCCATAGCCAGATATTGATTAATAGCTGATTAAAGGTGAAGAAACAGCCTTTTAGAAGCAGTTGTCTATAGATTCAAATAATCTGCTTCTTTTAATGAGACCGAGGGGGGGACGAAGCCTCTGTTTATATTTTGGTCACTGAAGACGACACGTGATAGTGTAAAGATAGCTTTAAACTGCATAATCTTAAACACAACGGCCAGCCTCACTTTTGGTGTTAGGGGTAAATAACGCGGTTTTTTGGTTCAATGGAGACTTCCAGAAAGTAGAAGGCCTTACAAGGACCATTGATGCGCTAGTTTTCACAGAATAGATGACCCTATGGGGCATGACCATTTTGGGTATAGTCTAATTTAGGCTAGAAGAAAAGAATACAGCTTGCTGACTGGACAATGGGTGCTTGTGAGTAAGCAGTGGCTGAGTGATCACAGACCGTTCACTGAGCGGTCACTGAGCAATCACTGAGCAATCACTGAGCAGCAACCGATGATCACTGAGCATCCATGATTGGTCACTGAGCAATCACATGACTGCACTGACCAGATCACTGACCATGAGCCCATGCTGACATTTACTCAGTGAGCCTGAGCCTGATCGCCCTCATTAAAGCGGCGGCAGCCCAGACAGGAAAGTCCCACCCGGCGGACATTATCCTGTGTATATAGGCGCATATACGGATTTTTCCATCGTCATTCGCATTTTCGCACTATATACTGCCTGGATTTCAAGTCGCGATATTATAATTCGATAAGGATCAATAGTACTGGTTGATTCCTTTGCAACAAGCGTATGTGATATAGTTGCAGCATGGTTGTAGGTGGTTGTAGGTGGTTGTAGGTGGTTGTAGGTGGTTGTAGCATGGCTGCAGTGTGGTTTACTGCGGCAATTGGAGTCCACCGAGGTCAGTTAGTGATTGATTACTATATATGTCGCTACCTGAGGCTTACTGCCTGTATATCCGTCTCAACCTTAGGCACCAAGACCCTCGCCCCTCCAATAATTCCAGGAATAATCGCTCATTTCCATCTTGCAGGTAGTATTGTTCCTAGCTTAAATTGAGATTTTAAACCCACGAGATTACGCCCATTCTCCGATTAAATGGAGCCCTCATAATATTGAGCGGGATCATGTCCAATTTTGGTCTGAACTTTCACCCAGTAGGTAATGCATAAGTTCGGTAGAAATCAATCATCAACCGAGCTGGACTTCAATTTCCGCCAGAGTAGTTGTAACCGCCCCCTTGGAAAAATTACCATTTTTGCTGGATCGTATACCCATTGTGCCACAGTGCCACAAGAGATCGCCGCTATGACATACTAAACGCGCTTTTTACCACAAGATTAACCATGAATCCCACAGGATTTAGTAGTGTAAAAACTGCTGATAATACCGCTTACTCTAGGCCAGTCAGTAGGGCCCAGTGGAGGCCAACAGCGCCTAAACCGCCCTCCATTCTAGTACAGTGGTGTTTCGTAAGTCTTCGTCCACCCCTTTTATTCTGCCGCGCTAAGGAATTTTCTGCCCACACTAAGAAACCTCATAATTAATTACAAAAATCAACCAAATCCATCAATTCTTAGTATACCACCCCTCTACATCGATAATCACCTACACCCTACGAGGCAAATTTGGCAGCAAGATAGGTTTAGGAGATCCAAATCTAGCGATTCCTACGCTTCCTAGGATTTCTTAACCAAAATACTATGCGTAGTATCGTTATCTCGCATAGTGTCGCAATAAATTTGGGGCATTTTACCGCTAACCCAAAAATGCTCCATAGCCTACACTCTTAGTCTATACGGGCTTCTATTTATTCTAGCACTTAGTTTTTAGCTCCAGGTAAAGCTTGTAGATTATATCCTTGAGTAAAGCCCATAGTTTATTAATTAGATTTAAATCTGGGCGAATTCGCCAGCTAATTCATCACGATAATCCTATGTTATGTATTACCTCGCGTATAATGATTATACCATGTGTAGATGCGTTCTCTTACTGGAGAATGCTATTCCGGTGACTAATGAAAGTCAGTAGGATTCGCTGATAGAGATCGCGAATCACGAAGCAATTTATACCTCTACAGGTACTATTTAGATTGCTAAATAAAGGAATATGGCCAATTCATCGTATTACCCCTGAAAAAGCAGCTCGAAATATTTATTTAATCTATTTACTAAGTTTTAAAACCAGGTGTATATTACGCTTTCGAATTTAATCTCTTCGAGGTATACACGTATACTCCCGACGCTTGCTAATACCTCTTTCGACAAGATACTCGTCGGACTAGAAGACTTAGTAGTAATTCGTAGTGGTAAAGTATTAGTGTTACGACACGTGCCCAGGCGCACTAGCCAATCTAGCCAAAAAAACCAAATTTGCCAGAATCCCTGTGACCGATATAAGTAGCGCATCTGCATTAGGCTTAGGGGGACCAGTTCCTTAGTCCTAACAATTAGTATGTGTCGTGCGAAAGTGGATACTTACATTTCAGTGACTTCGGATTTATCATGTGAATACTGAGAATGCCTACGGATTGATATATAAAATTGGGTGACACCTCGACTTCAGTACCGTACCCCGAATACTCGGTTATACTATATAAGGACGGCTTAACCCGGACCTTCTTCCATTTTATACGTAGAATTTTCTTTTTTTAATTAATTACTCTTTTTCTGATAGTTCTAGTAGAATCTCTTCTTCCTATTTCAGCCTAGTCTCTCATCCAATTGGCCTTGCTTTGACAGTATGTAATCCTGAGGTTCGCGACAACGTAGGGAAACATGGACCAATCAGCTTTAGACGGGTAGAAGGTCCACCAAGACTTCTGACAAGCCTTCTGAATAATCAGAAGTCTTTATACGCGGTTTGTATACTATAATTCCTTCTTAGATCTCAAGTATTCGAGTGCTTCGCTCTGGGTATGCTAATCGACGCGTTTCGCGATGGCTAGGCGGAGGTTTAATAATTAACGGTCGCTGTTTAGGAATCGTCGATTGAGAGAATAAAAAAAACGCGGGATGTAGAAGTGTCCTCAAACTTTCTGGCCCCATTGGTTGGTCCGCTCGTATTATGTGTTTTCCGCTCTTGGCCTCTCTTGGCACTAGCGCGGAGTTCTAAATACTCCTCTAATTTTCTATCTTCCCTTCTCGTCAGCTCGTCTTCTTTTCTTTGCGTATCCTCAGAAATATTTCTCTTCCTTCTCTCATTCCCGTCTCCCCTACGCGGCAGCTTGTCTTCTCCGCTCCGCATCAACCCAGAAGTCTCTCTCTTCCTCCTCTCCATCTCCCCTTCTCGTCAGCTCGTCGTCTCCTCTCCGAGAGTTCTCCCTCTTCGTCCTTCGAATCTCTGCTTTGCGCTAGCTTGCCGTCTCCCGTCTCCATCTCCCCGGATCTCTCTCTACTTATCTACCCATCTCGACTTACCGACCTTCTTTCGCCCTCTTATCTATCCCATCTACATCAAGATGCCAGTGTAAGTTCTTTCTTTCACAGAGATTACTCGTCAAGTCTAACGAATTCTAGTGATCAAGATACAATCCACAGCGGCGCGCTTGGGGATAGCATGCAAGCCCCAGCTCCTGTGACCGGTCGCACACATGTGGACCCTGGTGAATGGGCCGCCCTTGCGCTCGGTATGGATTGGGCCTGTGCTAAACGGGGCAGCCATTTCAAGACCAGCCTTCTACAAGCCCTGTCAAAAATGCCACCGAGGCGGGAACCTACCGTCCGCCTGCGCTTGTTCGCGCATGGGCTCGACCTTATGCAACGAATCGGAACGCGAAAACAGAATGTCGAGGCTTTCGCCATTCAAACGGTGGGTGATGTCGCGCTCAGCCCCTGCATCCATTGTGAGCAAGGGAATGGTCCTTTCCCAACCTGTGTCACGATCCCATCTACATTTGGACAGCTAGCATGCGCAGCATGCCACTGGGACAACCAGGGAAGCCGTTGCAGTTTTGTCGCCGTTGACGATACTTCCGACGTCGCAGAAATTTCCGCTCGTCCCGTTACGCAGCCCAAGGATGTTGTGCAAAAACAGCATGGCAACATGATGAGAAAGCTCACATCCTTGAAGGATGAGCAGGTTGAGTTGGCCGCGATGATGTCCGAAATCAATGACTTCATCGACACCACATCCCGGACCATCGACATGGCGTTCAGGACCCTCAATGCGCTGAAGCGTATGAGCGGAAAGATGGCTCATAGCGTCACCGCTCATGGACAGAAGATCGCGGAGCTCGAGCAGCAGATCGAAGCCAACGCTGCCGAGCTGTTTCAGTGCATGGGTGCCGATGATGATGCTAACTCCCAGTGATCGCAACCTTCGCTTGTAGCTATTCGCTATTCCTTGCCTGCACCCAAAGATTATCAGGCCTGTTCATGATGCCCTCAAGAAGCACATCTACTTGAATTTTTCTATATCTTCGATAGCTATTACTATGATAAGGGATTGAGATACATCAATGCTCTGCTATTTGAAACATAATTCCAGTAGTCACTGCCCCAGTCTCTAATAAGCTCAATCGACGTCAACTTGGCAAGAGGTCAAGTCGTTGCTGTAGACCCGCATCAGTACTTTCTTTTCTCCCTCCGAGAGTTCGCTGATAGCCTCCTCGAGCGTGCGCTTAGCTCGAAGGTATGCGGTACGTGCCACAGCTAGCTGGTCATCTCCGGTGTGTGGTGTCTCCATAGCTGCCGCAGGAGTATTTCGAATTGGATCGATTGCCTTGGCCTTCTCCATAATGTCCTTGACCATCTTGATCGCGGCGTCTAAATTTCGTCCTAGGATCTAGAACCACAGTGTTAATAGGTAATAGATGGAGAGAATAAGATGAGCTCACTGTGTTCATGACATTTGGGAGGTTTACATCCTCGGATATTCCCTCAATCGCGAGTCTGCAGAAGGTAAAGTCCTCTTTGTAGACCTCGACAAGCATTTGTCTTTCTTTGTCCGATAGCTTTCCGATAGCCTTTTCAATCCGAGCCTTGGCCTCGAGGTACGAGGCACGGTAAACGGAGAGCTCGTTCTCAAGGCCTGCCTTCTTCTTCAACTTGCCGGGCGCTGTGCTCTTTTCCACGGCTTGCATCACCGTAAGGATCTTCTTCACGTTGAGCACAAGCGCTTTGGTCATAGTGACCGCCTCGTCTAGGTCCTTTCCTAGATACTAGACCCACAATGTTAATAAGTTAAGGTTTGATAGGAGAAGAGCTGCTCACCGATTCAGGTAGATTTGAACCAGTGAGCGCCATACTTTCGATCTTTTTCTGAGGCAGGGAGAGGTAGGCTGGGAAGAAGACCCTGAGACGAAGGAAAGCAGAATAAGGCAACGTATAGGAAGCAAGATGGAAAGTAGAGAGGTGGAGGGTTGGAAATGATGAGAATGAATAAAGGCGCAGGGGGGGAACAGAGAGGCAGAGAGGCAGAGAGGCAGAGAGGCAACACTCGTAGCTAGAGGCTCAACACGCTCATCTCCATCAAAGGTCGCGCTCCGAGAACAATAGCGACAGTCACCCACCCGCTCGACTACACACGCCGGCCCAGTCAGTGTGAATAACCATAAGCGAACACTAACTGTTGTGTGGGTCTTTTTTTGTGATTCGTGATGGGCGTTTTTCTAGATATGTGCTTCAAGCTCAAGAAAATGCCTATCCCAGACCATCATGGAGGAGGCGTGCTTATGTCTTAAAGACCATCACTAAACGGCTCATTCCGCTGATAGACCTCTCGCATGTCAGGCTCTGCCTGCCTGACCATTACCATTTGAGAATTACCATTCCCCCCAGCGCCTTCTCAGAGTCATTCGGCTCGGCCCGCCTCGCAGGTCAATATTGAGGTGTTCTCTTATTCGCACGACGATCCGTTAGGTTCGTCATATATGAAAATACCTGAATAAGCTACCAAGGAAAGTTGATTCTCTACCATTGGAGTCATACTACCGACCAAGGTGGTGTGTAGTTTGGATTTTCTAAGGATACTCTTATCTCGCGAAGGCGATCTTACTGGGTTCCCGTCTTAGCTCCGTGCGGCGCACCCACATTCTCTAAACAACACTTCAACCAATGAGCGCTGACTGTGCATCTGAGAATTCTAATTACTTGGTGTTCTCTTCGGTAGTCTGTAAAGCTTAGCCCTTTGCAGATGGTTCAATGCTTATTCTCAGTGGTTATGCGTGCTGATCTCACGGGGACCCCCCACATTGGAGCCGCGGGCCTTGCCCCCAAGGTCATTGTCATTTGCATCAGAGGACCTTGGGGAAATCACATAGATGTTGAATAAGACCCGGACTTTCGATCTTGGATTTCTTGTTATGGACTCTTCGCAATGGCAACAACTCGCACTTTGCTCAACCGACTTTCTCCAATGCCCGGATCGTGACCAGCGACAATTTTGTCTTCCAGAGAAGATAAATCCTTGAACATTCTGATAAAAATTTCACAAGTCAGCTTACAGCTCACTCGAACCCCAGCTCCGCAGTATGCCATTCACCTTTTTGCCCATGGTAGATCATATTCCTTCCTCACTCGACTACCATGCAGTGTCTCCATGCTAGGATGGTAGGCAAGAAAAGACTCACTCTCCATCCGCTTCTACGTGGACGGTACCATCCCGTCTAATTGTTCGACATTCGTGTCAGTCTCGCACGCCATTGCGGGGAGAAGAATCTGGACTGCACTGGCGACGAGGCGATGGCTATCAATTGGAGAATTGCCCCACCTCTTCAATGTCCGCATATATCTCTGCCATCCAATGGAATACCGGCGGATTGGGTTACCACTTTCAGACGCGCCCCCGCAAGTTATCTCGGATCTCCTCAACTGCACCCGGAGACAAATGACACACCCTATTCATGAGCCTCGAGGGATCCATAAAGATGTCAGGAAATCGCGGTTCTATCGGTAGAGCATCCGGGGCTGACCCGGGACGCCCTCCCGACTCCGATTTCCCCTCGTGAGGGGAAGCCAGGGGAGCGAAGAGATATACAGCCGCCTTCTTTAAATATAGAGATGTGTCTAGTAAATTGGGCAAGCACAACAACTCTAAACAACGTCTCTTCGTGGATATTTGAATATTGATTCTCGTCCATTCACCAGACTCCGGCTTTCTGTGCTCCCTGTTCCGAAAGTCGTCTCACGCCCACACATTCAACCACAATGGCCCCCTCTACCCACCCCCTCATCGATAACGGAATCACTCGAGGCGACCCCAACTTCGCCGGTGGCACTCTGCACTGCCACTGCCCATCCGACCAAGTGGTTATTGCATTGAAGAGCAACATCGCGCATAACCACGCCTGTGGCTGCAGCAAGTGCTGGAAGCCCCGCGGGGCCTTGTTTTCCATTGTCGGCGTCATTCCTCGTGACAACCTCAGTGTCCAGGCCAACGCGTCCAAGCTCGCCATTGTCGACTCTTCGGCGGTGATCCAGCGCCACGCCTGCCGGGATTGCGGCGTCCACCTGTTCGGTCGGATCGAGAAGGACCATCCCTTCCGCGGGCTCGACTTTGTCCACGCCGAGTTGTCCGATCAGAAGGGATGGCAAGAGCCCCAGTTCGCCGGCTTCGTCTCTTCGATCATCGAGCAGGGCTTCAACCCCAAGGGTATGGATGAGATTCGTGCCAAGTTCAAGTCTGTTGGGCTCGAGAGCTACGATGCCCTGTCGCCCCCCTTGATGGACCTCATTGCGACTTTCACTGCTCAAAAGTCCGGCGTGAAGTTCGCCAACCTTTGAATGACTCTTCGAAAACCAGATGGTATTCGTACTCAATTTTGTGTGAAGGGTGTTGAAGCCTGCACAACATGGTGGTCGACATCAAGACAGTATTTAGCGTTTGTACATAGAGAATCTTTGAATTTTGGGAGACTCGAACTGTAGCCATTTGTAGCCGGATGTTGAGACAAACAGGATTCAAGACAAGAAGCACATTGGTAAGTCGTGAACGATAATTCCATCAAAGTCCTGCTCTCAAGGTAAATCAAGGACTAGAGGCGTGAGGGCCAGCTCAATCAGGCTCTACACAATGACGTTGTCGCGCTCAGCCCGCTCCACCATCCTGACCAGCGCCTCTGCCACGCCGTAGGAAAATGCATACCCACCGCCTCCAAACCCATACGCCGACAGTAGCGTTCGTGATCCTTGAACTTCGGAGTCGAGCCGGAACCCCCCTTTGCGAGAGGGGCGAATCCCGATGATGTGGCTGATGGCGTCCTCGGGCGGATTGGCCGGGACGACGTCGGGGGCTAATCGATGTGCGCGAGCAATTTCATCTCGAGCGATCTCGAGGTCAACATTGGGAGATCTGAAACGAGGATTCAAGAAGGTTAGAATATCTCTAGATGAATAGATCTCGGGCCGGTTTTGACGGTGCATGCTTACAGGTTATCTTCCTGTTTGACACCACCCAATACTACGCCCCCCGAGTATGGCCGGGGGATCACATAGGTATACTCTTGCCCGTTGCGAAAGTACATGGTCCGACATCGATCGGTTCGTAGGAAGACGTTCTGGCCCCGTTCGGGAAAACAGCAATCGTCCCGGACATCTGCCAGAGTTTTACTGCCGAGCCCGCTAGCGTTGATGAAGACTCGAGAATCAGGGAACATGTCGTACAACTCATGCAGTGAGTCGACTTTGTGGCGGATGAAATGGCCACCTAGCCTTTGAATCTGTCTCTTCAGATATGGCATGTGTCGCGTGGGGTCGGTCACAAGCGTCTCATATGCCCAGGCACAGGCAAATTCGGATGGATATTCTCCTGGGGACAGACTCCGGAACTGGATACATGATAGGGTCAGTGGGTCGACGGTTAAGAGATAATTGTTTTTCAAGAGCAGCTGATCTTAGTAAAGAGACTAACCCTAGACACCACAGTCTTCCCCCAGAGAGCAGAATCCGGGGTCGGTGTCCGTTCAAGATACTCTCGAGCATCCACGATACTGACTCCGGACTCTGGCTCCAGGGCCATCTGGCGTAGGATGCGATGGGTCACAGCCTGAATATAGCGCTGGTCGGGAGTGATCCCCCCTGCCGCATGCCAGGCTGCACCGGCCCATGCCGAGGCGTAATGAATGTCTTGATCCCCCGGCAGGAGTTCAGCGACCAGAGTGACGTCAAAGCCCTTGAGCAGCAGCTGGCGAGCGGCGGCACAGCCGATGATGCCGGCGCCCAAGATGATGATCGGACGCTGGGCAAATGGCACCGGAAAGTCTTTAGCAGGATGGTCGCATTCACCCATGACGACTAGATTGCCTGCGTATTTGGCTCAAATCCTTGAGCGAAGTTGTCGTTGATGGTAGTCAAGGGCTGGACTGTGGCACTGCTGTATTCGAAACGATCGGTCGGTCCATATGATTCCCAGTGGACTGGCCTCGAGCAAAAAAGGACGAATCGTTGCTAGGAGCTGCTGGCTCGACGTTGGGATCACCTAGGACTCTTGTACTGAGCCAATGGATCCGTGGAAAGTGTATGTCGAATGTTTAAATTTGTCGAGTCTGTCAGTGGGCCGTTGATGCTTTGCGGGCCGGGATGGTGATGTCGTGCTGCATTCTGAGAATTTGGCAATGGCTCTCTTAAATTGGTGCTTTTCCGAGAAACTTGCAGTACCTCTCCTTATCTCCCTGGATTTTTTCTTCTCCATTTCCTCTTCATTTATCTTGGAGGCGCTTCGAACCGCCCGAGCGGAGTCTCTCAATGAGTGCGGATGCCAAGGCTGGCGGGTCAACCCGCCCGCACAACCCGCCCGTCGAGTTGGAAACGATCGTCTTTTCTGCCTTTCCTCTTCCTTCTCTCCCTCTCATTTGTCTCTTCCCCCCCCCCAATCAGCCCCTCCCCCCCTCCTCCTCCCCTGCAAGTCAAGAGTCCACTTCCATCAAAACCCGAGTCATTGATTCAACCCTTGCTCCCTGGGATCTACTGGAGCTAAGTCGCAACAGCCCGCCGACTGCGATCGGCCATCATCCGTCCCTCCCGCCCCCAACCAGTTTACTGTGGGCTCCTTCGGCTTGCGGTACGTGCGGGACATCCCCGTTCCATCGGCTCGACGCGTCGGATGCGCTGAGCTTTGAGATCTTGGCCCCCTCATTGTTTCCCACCCCTCAATGCCGTCGACTGCTGGGAGTCGAGCGTCGTGATTGGGGCATGGGCCATTGTTGATCTGGTCAAGCCCGCTGCCCACTCGGACAGAGTTGGTCTCCCCCCGGATTCTACCGGAATTGACGTGATGAAGTGGGACGAAGACGAGGACGAGAGCCGGAATGATGCACACTCGTCTCATCCTCATCATCAACAAAACCAACAGCAGCTGCATCTGGATTCTCCCGCTTTCTCATCTTTCGGCGATAAGTCTATAGACTCTCCACCATTCCCCTTGCAGGTAGAGTTCACCCCATCTCCTTTTCTCAGCCAGTGGCCCCCCGGTATCTACCATCTTCCACACACCAACGGCGTATTCCCCCACAATCACACACCGTTTGATTCTATAGAAAACTCTCTGTATATCTGTACCCTTGTGAATCATGATTCGCTCTCCACTACCTCCCACCCCGACTCGCTACAGGACGTGATCCCCCTTGACTTGTTAGTCGTGTCTTGGCAGCGTTTGGCGTGGGTCACTGCGGTCCCTCCCTAACGTTGTCGACCACATGGCTGCGGCCCCAGCCGACAACCTTCTTTTACGGTGGGCTGTCGACCTCCGGTCGGATCGCGTTCTGGCATGCGATCCATGTTCTATTGGCCAATGGTCCTTGACCATGTTGTTGCCTATCCCTCTCCCTATTTGGCCCCTGCCTCCCCAATGGCGAGCGCTCATGGTGCTCGGACATTGGATTTCACATTGACTGCTTGCCCCCATATAGACCCAGTTTGCTCATACGATTTTGCCATTGCGTGGTAATAGGACTCCTCCGGCAAACATCATGACGACGATATCTCTGTTCTACGCGACCGCGATGCCGAACAGATTTTGTCATACGATGCCGATGACTCGCCCTTTCCTGAGGTGCGCGCAGTCATTCAGCCCATCAATGACCTCTCATTGCCCGTAAACACCGTCCGTATGTGGACAATCGGCTTGCTCTTTACCATTGTGCGTTAGCTCCGTATCTTGTACCTGGAGGCACTGCTCGATCCCCATAGTACCTCGAACATACTGACGGGTCTTTTCTTCTCCTGATTGGCAGATTGGAAGTGGACTGAATCAGTTCTTTAGCTTGCGCCAGCCGAGCGTGACCATCAGTGCCCTGGTCGCCCAGCTGCTAGCATTTCCGGTAGGCTGCGCCTGGGCCCAATGGATGCCATTGGGCTTCCTGAATCCGGATCGACACTTCAATATCAAGGAACATGCCCTCATCACTATCATGGCCAACGTCTCGATTGGTTCCGCCGCGGCTACTCAGATCATCGAGGCAGTGGTCAAATTCTATGATATGCCCTCTCACGGTGGGTTCGAGGTCCTGCTCTGTGTGACGACCCAACTCTTTGGGTTTGGACTTGCAGGCATGGCCGCCCGTTGGTTGGTCACTCCCGCATCTATGATTTGGCCCCAGGTGTTGTCGAATGCGGCCTTGCTCACAACCCTGCATTCGCGAGAAAATGCAATCGCCGATGGCTGGCGCATCACGCGACTCCGCTTCTTCCTGGTGGTTTTCATTGTCGGCGCAATCTGGTACTTTGCCCCGGGGTATCTGTTCACGGGTCTTAGTACTTTCAGCTTCATTTGCTGGATCGTCCCTACCAACGTCGTGGTCAACCAACTGTTCGGGCAGGTCACTGGGCTGGGCATGTCCGTGCTGACCTTTGACTGGGCCCAGGTTGTTTATGCCAATCAAAGCCCCCTGTTGGTCCCATTCTGGGCTGGCTTAAATGTGATGGGCTCATTTGCGCTCTTCTTTTGGCTCATATGTCCCATCGTATACTACACAAACACATGGTATTCAGCCTACCTGCCCCTTCTCAACTCCAACACCTTTGACAATACGGGCAAAACCTACAACACCTCTCGCATCATGGATCCCGATGGCTCCGTCAACCAGACTGCATATCGAGAATACTCGCCCATGTTCTTACCTGCTGGATACGCCATCACCTTTGGTGTTGCTTTCGCCAATCTCACTGGCATCTTCTTCCACATCGGACTCTACCATGGTCGCGATTTGTGGGAACAATGGAAAGGCACAAGCAAGCCAGACGTCCATGCCCGCCTCATGTCCATCTACCCCACCGTACCTTGGTGGTGGTTCGCCGGAGTGACTGTGTTGATGTTTGTGCTGAGTGTGGTGACGAATGAGGTGTGGCATACGGGGCTCCCCGTCTGGGCCGTATTGGTGGCATTCGTGCTTCCTACCATCTACTTCATCCCGGTCGGCATTATTAAAGCATTGACAAACATTAGCAGCAATCAGCTGAATCTGTTGTCCGAGTTTATTGGCGGATACGCCTTTCTCGGCAAGCCGCTCGCGAATATGGTTTTCAAGTTTTACGGTTATGTCGCCGTTCAGCAGGGGCTAGAGTACGTTCTAACATTTCCAAGTCTCCAGTTGTATGCTGATACATGATTGACCATTTCTGCAGATTCGTTGCTGACATGAAGCTGGCCCACTACCTCCACATTGCACCACGAACCGTCTTTGCTGCTCAAGGGCTTGCTACACTGATCGGGGCTATCGTACAGTGCGGCGTGACGGTGTTCATGATTACGAGGATTGACGATGTCTGTACCTCGGATGCAGATGGGAACTTTACATGTCCGCATGGACGGGTCACGTACTCATCGTCACTTATCTGGGGTATGTCTTTTGCCGTGCCATAGCGAGCCATCTCTCGCTTCCGAATCTCCCGTCTCTGTGGTCATTGAACCGTCAAACTCATTCATTGTCCTCTCTAGGTGCGATTGGACCTGGTCGATTATTTTCTCCCGGCCAGATTTATGGTACCCTGTTGTGGTTCTTCCTGGTTGGTCCGGTGGTTGTCATCATCACGTATCTTCTGGGCCGTCGGTGGAAGGCCATGAACTATATCTCCTGGCCCGTTGCCTTTGGAGCGATGAGCTTGGTCCCACCGGCGACTGGAGTCAGCTTTTCGTCCTGGTGGGTGATCAACCTGATCTTCAATGGCTTGATACGCCGACGCAAACCTGCGTGGTGGTCCAAATACAGTATGTTGACTCACGATATCTATCAATGATAATATGGCAATCAGCTAACAACGTTCTAGATTACGTTTTATCGGCCGCGCTGGATTGCGGTGTCGCCGTCTCTACCGTGGTCATCTTCTTTTGCATCACATTGCCGGCTGGCCCACTGAATTGGTGGGGTAATACTGTGTATAGTAATACTGCCGATGGAAAAGGCACGCCGTACCAAAGTCTACCCAGTCAAGGCTACTTTGGCCCTCTTAAAGGCACATGGAATTAAAGATAATGAAATATAATTGTATAATGATTGAGCCATGATGTTGTAGCACTCGGTGCTTGTCCGGAACTGAAGATAGCAGCATATTCGTCGAGTGATGACTTCTTCGCATGAACAATCATCATTCCCAATTTTGGACTGTGCAGCTGCAGGTGGAGACTTGGAAGTCTTTGCTTCAGTATTCGAATTGGGATTACGTTTGTTTCTGTCGTGGCCACTCCAAGTTCTTGATCAAGCATCGTCTACCGTGATATACGTACGCTGCTCACACCTTCACCGAACGACCTCGAACATAGACCCTGGCAATATTTCGGTCATCACCCGTCATGAGGAATTTCTCAAAGATGACAAAGTTCGAATCCTCCTCTTCCACCAGCGACATCACTCCGGGCCGATCCAAATCGATGGTATGAACCTCCAAGGCATCGAATTCCTTCCCCACCGCAAAGCTGCCAATCTTATCATCCAAGCCACAGACTTGCGCACCGCCCATGGTCGCAAGATAGAACCCCTCGGCTAGTGACAATGGCTCATCTCGTCCGTTGGTGTGCGTCTTTTGGGCGAGTGATACGATAAAAGCTTGCTTCATCGCATCTAACATGGATGAGGAATACCCACCGCCACTGTCCGTTCCCAGGCCGACCTTGATACCCCGGCGCAGATACTCACGGATCGGTGCAATCATAAAGTCGCGCATGGTGGTATTTGAAATTGGGCAGTGTGCGACACCGCAACGGAGCTCCTGCAGCATGTCCATTTCCCTTTCTTCCAGGTAGATACAGTGGGCCAGGATGGATCGCTCGTTCAAAAGTCCAAAATTTCGGTATAGATCGGCTTCCAGGTGGAATTCGGGAAAGAGCTCGCGTGTGAAGTTGATCTCCTCCTTTTCCTCGTTGAAATGAGTCTGAATTGGCACATCGGGATGCTCTTGAACGATAGATCCCAGACCCGAAAGAAGTTCGGATTCACAAGAAATGGCGAATCGCGGCGTAATGACCGGCTGCACTAATTGACCTTCTGGGTCAAGGGTCCGGACGTGCTGGATCAAGGCCCGCGTCTCCCGTAACGAATCCGAGACGGAGGGATCGCGATACCAGTCTGGCGCGTTTCGGTTCATGTTGCACTTACCCACCAAGGCTCGCTGGCCTTTCTGGTAGCAGACATCGGCCAAGATGCGCGTCGCCTCGCCGTGGTAAGATCCATAGTAAGACGCAGTCGTGATGCCCTGCTGGAGGAAACCATCCACACATGACGCATACGTGCGTTTGGCGTACTCGACATCGGCAAACTTGGCTTCGTGAGCAAAAGTGACGTTGTTCAGCCAGTCAATGAGTGAGATGCCACGGCCCATACCGCGCTGTGTCCACTGAGGGGCATGATTGTGCGTGTCAACAAACCCCGGGCACAAGAATTCGCCCCGACGAAGGTACTTGACTGGGAACACGTCGGGCGCATATCCGTGATCGGAGATGATGGCGCTGATTTGAGTTGGATCCACGTCCGTCTGCAAGACTTGAATCTTGCCCGATTTATCCACAAGAATGAAGCAGTTCTCAAGGAATTCAAGTTCGACCAGGCTGCGGGAGTGGATTATAGTGCCGTGGAATGCGAGAGGGAGCCCCGATGCGGGGGATGAGGAGGTTTGATTCAAGTCCTCCATGGCGAAGGGGCCGCGCGAGGCGCTGATAAAACTATTCCAAGGATAGACCCAAGTACTGGCTTGATTGAGCGAGCACGGCTATCTTTGGAAGTTCTGATCTGGAACGCAGGTGTTGCTAAAGAAAGTATTCCTCACGAGAAATCGCAGCGGGGACTCGATGTAGAGTGAGGGGCTTTCCTGCGGTCAGTCTCAGCCAATAAACATTGCATGAACCGTGATCTTATCGTCATCTTTCAGGCCTCCATTCCTGATTCAGAAGAGGATTTCCTTGTTCCAATCCTAAATACGCGTACTAGTTGACGTTTGAGGTCGAATTCTTGAGATCCTGGCAAACAATGCCAAGCAATAAATAGGTTATAGGCAGAACCTGTTCTACAACAACCACTATTCATTTCATCAATACTTCATTCAATTGAAGGGGTATATGACTGAGATAACTAGTCAAGACAGAGAAAAAGGTGTGTAAATTGTTCATAACAAAAGGCGTTCCCTGGACGGTGATACATCCACGTCCATCACCCCATATCTAGTGCCAAAATCACGCATATCTCAGCCGTCTATGTGATAATGAAATTAAAAACGCGCTCAAAGGGTATAGTAACTGGCCATCTCCTCCTGGAACCAGTTATATGAATAGTAAAGTTGCTCTGCCATTTGCGGGTCGATAATCGGTATGACTCCGCTACCGTCAACCAGCAGAACGTCATCCAAAACGGGGGCCAGTGGGACTGGAGGTGGAGGCGGAGGGGCCAGAGTGACGGAAGGTTGAGGTGGCATCAGAGGTTGTACATGGTGTTGGTGTTGGTTGTGGTGTTGGTGCTGTTGCTGCTGGTGTTCCAGTTGTTGCTGTCGAAAGGCCATTTGACTGAATATGGTGGTGCTCTGGTGGCGGAACGTCTCTGCCAGTCGATCCACTCCCGGACGACGCTTGCCAAATTGCTCGAGCAGCACCACGACGGCCTGAATGCCCCGACGCATCATCTGCTCGTCAGGATGCCACGGAGCCGGGCGAGAGTCGCGCAAGCACCGGGCATTCTGTTCCAGACACCACAGAATCGTGATGCCTGCGAAATAGACCTGGCTCAGAGTCAACCAGATCCATTTCAATTTGCCCACAGAGTAACTATCCCAGTAGGATCGAATCACTTGGATGCTGGAATCTCCACAACTGACGATGCTGGTTGCATCCGGAGTCGGGTTTCGTGGGCTCGGGCGATACATCAACAGTAATGTAGTATAATACAGATAATCATAATAGGAGGTCGAGTAGAGGAGCGCTGATGGATAAACAGGAGCCGCCATGCGCCAGTCATCCACCTCGCGACGGAATTGACCCAGCGTGGCGGCAACCTCTTGCGGGGATGGTTGGGGGAGATTGCTGTACACTAAAAGTCAAGGCAGGTGAGTACAAGGTCTGGCCAAATGCAGGGGTAGGTTGCCAGAGGGGAAAGGTCTTGGCTGTGTGATCAACTTACGGTATTGATAAATACGAGAAAAGATCCGTCGTAAACGAATCACCTGTAAAGGAATCGTCATGGTGCTGGCACCGGGTGCTTCCAGCCCATCGTCGTTCAGCTCCCGTGGAAGGCCCACGCTGATATCGTCGTCCGGAATTCCCAGAGGCCGCCCAAGGGTACTGGCAATGAGACGATCCAGGTTGTAGAGACTCCAAAAGGCACGCTTAGCCATCTCTTCTTCCATCAGGGTTGGATATGACCGGGCCTTGTGTAAAGCCATGCTGATCGCGAGGCGTAAGGTAGCCCCCAAGACGTGCCAGATGCTGGGACCGGCAGTTGCAAACATGGTATACAGGGCCAACCCGAGCAAGGCCCGGATGGAAGGGAGATCCTCATTCTGAAGCGCGAGGGAGAGAGTCTCCTGGCTCGCACGGTAGAACTCGGCAGCCTGTGCAGGCTCGGCCGACCCGATCAGCAGTGAAATAGCGATGATGATATGATACGTATTGTGGACCTCCGGGGTGGGCACGCCGCCCGTGTAGATATGGCGCAGGTGGCCGAAGAACTCGGGCCGAGAAAGAAATGGATACTGGTATCCTATGCTATCAAAGTACTGGCCCGCGACGCGCTCCGCTTCTTCGAGCGAGGAGAGACGCAGCACTCGTGGGGCGACGGCCGGCCGTGCAACGGACGGACGGCGATTCTCCAACTGGTCGCGAAGGATCTCGCCCACATTGGGCAGCTCGACACCCACCCCCGTGGGCGAGTCGGAGATGGCAGCGAGTCCCGGCGTCGCCGCCGAGCTGCCATTACCCACCGGACTCAGCATCGAGCCCACGGACGCGTGACTGCCGCCGGTCGCAATCATCGCGGGCACTTGATACCACCAGTCCGGATCGCCCTCGCCGTCCACGGGAGTACCCGTGGCCAGATCAGCCACGGAGATGCCCATTTTGCGCCGCACGACGTCTTCCAACCATCGCACTCGTTTTTGTAACGTTTCCAGCTGATCTCGGGGCACCGAGGCACTGGCTACCTGGGGGCCCGGGGGAGGGATGGTGCAGCGCACCCCAGCGCGCGTGCAGGCCGAACAATTCGGGTACCGAAAGTCGCATTTCTTCTTGCGCTTGCGACAGAAGTCGCAAGCCGTCGAGACTCGTTTGCTGCGTGCGCTCGGGGTGGAGGACGTGGGGTCCGGGGTAGGCACCGAGTCGGGCGCTGGCGGGGGTTGCGGCCACGCGGAGGCGGATGGCGAGCTGGGCTGGTACGAGCGCGGCGATGGTTTGGGAAGTGTCGTGGTCGGAGACGACCAGGCCGGAGACGAGACGTTCGGGGATTCGAGGCGAAACTTGCCGAGTTGGTCGCGAAAGTCCTTGTTGCCCGAGCTGCTCGTCATCGTGAGGGAGCAGGCAAAGGGCGGCTGGGGCCGCAATCCATCTCCAGCCCTTTTCCCAGCCGGTGGACACGAAGGCCGGCCACTGGATATGAGGTACCGAACGAGCCACGGGGGGGGGTGGAAAACGTGGCTGGTCAGAGATCAAGTAGTCGGTGTCGGACGGGGTTTAGCTTCGGAGGAGGAGGGGGAGAAGGGGGGTTGGGCGGTTGACGATTGTTGCGGTGATTCGAGAGAGTCGGAAGAAGTGGAGAAGTTTCGGTAGTCGATAAGTGAAGGAGGACGACTCGGTCGGAAACCCTGCAGATCGCCAGAGCAGCTACGAAGCTTCTTGTGCAGAGTCCAATGTAACGATAATATCACTCGAGGTCATGTCGAATCAGATCGGGGAAAGTCAATCAACCAGACCGTCTTGGAGTGCAGTAGCGCAATGGAAGACCGGAATGGGACTGGATAACGCCATTCTGACGGGGCCCGACAATAGCCTCGAGCTCTTTTTGGTGGGATGATGCGAGCAGCATGAGTGGCTAGGTAGTACGTCTATGAATATGTGACCAATATTATACAATCTACAGTTTTACTACGTGTGGAATTATTGTAGTAGAAATCGAGGAAACTACAGTAGTAGCCGTGCAGGGATGATCTTGCAGAGAGAATGAATTCATAGAGGCCCAGGATAGATAGACCAGACCTGGTCGTGGTCAATATCCTCTGAACAAACGTGCACTTGCCCCTTCATGAGATGCTAAGTACCGTCCAGTACCTTGGTAGACTCGTGGAAGGAGGAATAGTTCCCTATGGATGTTCCTGTAGATTGAGTGATAGTTGGTACCTGCGGTGCCTCCAATATATACATGACCTGTCGGTGACTGGCAGGTGGATACCTTCTTCCATGCTATCTACACCAAGGAAGACAAAATGATGACCAATGGAACTTGCATAACTGCCCATGTTCCATCTCTGGAATAAACTTGAGCCCACCAACAAATCATACTCGAAACGGAACCTGATGCTCAATACGAGTCCCTGGCGATCTGCAAGGAACGGGCAAATGCCGAGTCTGCAAAACCAAAGTTTAATCCACGTTGGTGAGAACAAACATCCTCATCCTCATCCTCATCCCCATAGTACTCCTTAGTTCTTATTGGAATCCTTGCCAGTCGGGCGTACTGTACTTGAAACGAGTGCATCGGGATACAACCCTCCATCGGATGAGATCGGCTTCTATTTGATCAACTGCCAGCCTTTTGACCGTGACCCCGGGGAAATATACTCCGTACACGTGAAGAACGTTGGTTCGATATGACTGGCCAAGATCTCCGGCCCCAAGGCAGTACTACTGAAGTGTATCGCGGTAGTTGAGACTGGGCTCATAAAGTGTTTTGAGATTGTGGCTGGTGAATGCCGAGGATGTCGAGCATTCCTTACCTGCTGAGTACTGCAATGACCATGTCACGAATTCGAATCAATTATCACTCAGCGAAGATTGCCAGTCTGCACAAGATAGCATCACTCACTTTCTCCGGAGAAATAACGGATGATTGTTATCAAGGTCTTTCAGAGCTGCGACCACTGGAGATTTCTTGCTGTGCCCTGCCCTGCCCCGCCAGGAGTGGATTGATCGTCATGGGCTAATACCCAAACTGGTATGCCAGATTCTCGTATTCTTTCCTTCGATCCTACCTTTCCCCTCAATTAGACGAAGATCTGCTCTGATGCATTATTTTGGGATACAATACGATGCGCAGGGCGACGAACGGACACTATTGAGCTTGCTTTATCCCCTAAGGAACAAATGACGACCCATAAATAGAGCCGTTTGCCCCTGCCAACGCCGTATAGATTAACAATTCCTTCTGCAAGATAATCTTCGAGAATTTGCTGCAAAACCCACTATGAAGACTCCTGTTCTATCACTCCTTCTCGCCGCCGGTGTCGCCCAGGCTAGCGTCCAGGGCTTCGATATCTCCCACTATCAGGCAAATGTCAATTTTGCTGGTGCCTACGCGTCGGGGGCCCGTTTTGTCATGATCAAGGTGAGCCCTCGGGATGAGGCATCCTTGTCGCAGTTGATTATTAGTCAATGACTCACGATTATCTTCCCACAACCCATTAGGCCACCGAGGGCACTACGTATATCGACAGCAGCTTCTCGAGCCATTACACTGGCGCTACTTCTGCCGGACTTATTCGAGGTGGCTACCACTTTGCTCATCCGGACTCCAGTTCAGGCGCAGCCCAGGCCAATTTCTTCCTGGCCCATGGTGGAGGCTGGTCCAGCGATGGCATCACCTTGCCGGGCATGTTGGATATCGAGTATAATCCCTCCGGAGCGACCTGCTACGGCCTGAGCGCATCCGCCATGGTTGCTTGGGTGAAGGACTTTGGCGAGACCTATAAGAGCAAGACGGGTCGATACCCCATGATCTACACCACGGCCGATTGGTGGAATACCTGTACTGGGGGTAGTACTGCCTTTAGTCAGGACTATCCACTCGTGCTGGCTCGCTATTCAAGCTCCGTGGGTACGGTGCCCGGTGGCTGGCCTTATCAGAGCTTCTGGCAGAACTCGGACTCTTACAGCTACGGGGGAGACTCGGACATCTGGAATGGAAGTGAAGATAACCTGAAGGCATTTGCCAAAGGTTAGACCTCACGAATCATGTACATATGAGCTGCTGGGGATGCATGTGTCAATAGTTGAATTTGTCAAGGTCCTGTCTTTTCGTACTCAAGCTAGTAGTCATCTCCACTGAAGTGGTAACTAGATAGTCACTATAGCCCAATTTCTTTCAATCCCTATGTAATCTCATTATATGAGCCAAAGAATGCTTTCTGATAGGATAAAATTATCATGATGTACATCAACAGACAATCTTACTTGTCCCTGCTGTACAGCGTCGTGTCAATCCCGCACTCTTACAGAACACAAAAGATTTGTATTCTCTCACGATTGACCTTATTTTCTGAAGGCGCTACCGTTAATTCAGATATAAGCATTAATTGTGTTACTCTGCGGAAAATAGATGATGTGTAATGATTAACAAATACAGCAGGGACTGGGAGGAGGGCAATAAATGCTACTATGCGGAGATTAACTCAGGGAAGTCATAAGGCCCAGATGCTTGGGTTCACAAAAAACATATGATTTTTAATATCCAGTGCTATCAAATCTACTTATATTGGAAATCATAGAAGGCAAACGAGAAACTGTAGATGAGCATTTTCGACAGTCTGAGCAGAGAGAAAAAGAAACAAGTCGATCAACACGGCCAACATCTTTTCGTCGAACTGTCATCTTACATACATTTAAATGAGCGTACTTATTGTATAGAGTGTCATAGCTTTATATTCTTTAAATGTGACTGACGAGTGCAGTGGATGAAAGCCCGGTATACCAGTCTAAAGTCTTCTTGACTCATCGGTCCCACTCGCAAACTCCTTTTAGTCACTTGAAGTATGGCTGCACGGTATAGTTCAGATCCTATGTTTCTACCAAATTGTAGGTTATACCAGAAATACTTTTTAGAAAATATAGGTGATGTATGTAGAAGAGAGTTTATCAGAATTTGCTCATTTGATGCTCTTAATTCTTATTTTCATAAGTCAGCGATTTTGCTCTCTAAGTAAGTCCGACCCGAACCACTTTGGTGGTGGAAGAATACAGCATTCTTTACCTTTCTCTCTGAAATTAACGTGCTGGCAAATGAAACGGTTGCGTATCATTAAGCACCTCTCAGGGGGGGTTGCTGTCAATATTTATTTAGAAAGATTCTTCAGATGCTCTTGACCAAGCGCGGAGAATCTTGCATCTTCCTCAATTCAAGTTCCTCCTAATGGAAAGATATTATCTCCATATGTAATGAACTAAGAGGAGTCGAGGATGCCGTAAACAATTCTATATCTTGAAGCACATTTTCAAATACCAATTTTCATGAGGCGACTTGGTTGTTTGCAGAAGATTTGCCATGCCAAACTCTAGATCTTGGTTTTTCACACCTCCTCCGGGGGTCACTTTGTTAAAGTTGGATCGTGTCGAATATTTTGCTTGTTCATTATGAAATTGAGCTATTAAGATCAGGAAATGTCCATGGTTGCCTAGAGTTTCCTTCTCAGTGGCAGTCATAATTTAGGGGCTTTGACAGGGGACCATCCTTTTTATGTCATTCGTGGGAATCACCTTAAGCGTGGAGGGGACGTCGGAAGTTTGCGCGTCGCACTAAATTGGCTATGTGTTTCTGCAGATTCTTATTTCATTTGAAGGCTTCGGCTTAGTTGGAGAGAAAAACGTGATCTTTGTTGGAATAGAATAAAGACAAGGGATTAAGAAGACGGAGTAGGAATGTTCCCCGTCCCCGTCCCCCATTTTCGGCCGCGGGGCGAAGCTGAACTCGTGTAGTGATGACCCACCCCACGCAGGGTAGGATGGATAGTATCTGCAATATTTAGGCTCCTACCATTGACCCAAAATGAGTAACTTCTCGCGGATTGTGCTTATCACTGTGGAGGTCCTAGTTAATTACTTATCTATATATTCCGTGCGTTGTTCTGCCTCCGTGGACACCTAGGAATACGTTTTACAACCATCTTCTCCCTACCGCTAGCGGAATCCTATTTCTGGAACATCAGAAGCAAGGAGGATGGATAGGAGCTTCCAAAACCATGAAATGCGAAACCTTGCCTTTCTTTCTCTACTCTCAAGCAGGGGTACTTGAACTCAATCATAAACTTTCCGTGTGTAGAAACTCTCAAGGCGCTTGGCTGGAATTTACCAACGCACATCGGTCTTGGCCACTGAATATGGCTATATATACAGAATATACAGGTTTCCTTTCTATTGAGCCTTTAAAAAGGAAGTTAGACCGAAGACTTAATCGCGCCTTTCCACTTAGTCTTCCCCCCCCCCCCCCCCCCCCCCCCCCCCGGCAGTGTCAGGTTTGCATCCGGGCGTACCCCAAGAGTAAGCACAGGTTGGGCCTTGTGACCTTTAGCGCCATTATATTAGCAAAGGAATCCTTTCATGTCACATCACGAAGTCGGCACCTGCCGGAAGGTGGAGTTTCTCCAGTCAGCATCCTTGGCTCTTTAGTAATGCCATGGATCCAGCCCCATTACGGGTCAGGTTCTGCATATGAAAAACACAGCTCCTACGAGAAACCCAACCACGCGCGCCCTGCCATAAACCGAAAAATGAAAATTCCCCTGAAGCTTATCACATTGCGAAGTAGAGCAAGATGAACGACTGCAGTAGCCACATAAGTCCGACTAAAACCCGATATTCCCCGCATTGGGCCAATCATATATGCAATAACAGACTTTTAGGGTTGGCGGGGAAGTGGGGATCGTGACATTCGGCTGTGCAGGGTATAGATTCCGCTATTGTGGCGCTTCAGCAGAAAGTACAATTGGTACTAGTATTTTCTTCAGAGATTCGTGTTTTTCGAAGACCTCGGCGCGAATCACATTTCATTTGGCAATACCATGTGAATTATAGAGCTTGGCTTGATCACTCTTCGACTATAAATTGTTGTGCAATGCTCAATGTTGGTAGTGGTATCTCTGAGAAAGTTTGTAGCAGCAGACTGATCTTCTTTCATAATCAAATTGCAAACCGCAACGATGTTCTGCAAGCTTGAGAATCTTGTATTGCTATTTATCGCGCTCAATACCTATGCTTTTCCGTTAGCAGAGCCAAATGAGGTCACGATCAAGGAACGGGGTGCTGGGTTGAACAGCTTTTTGAGCATTCTCCTTAGCCATCTCCCTGCTATAAACACCTCCATCACCGATGCGACCCAAATAATCACTGGCTTTGACAATATTCTTGGAGCACTTACTGGTGCTCAAGAGACATACAACGAGCTTGGAGGAACATGCACCGAATGGACTGTGATATTTGCTCGTGGTACAGCAGAGCCAGGCAATGTATGCGAAAAAAAAGCGTACGGTTTCTCCATATGCTAAAGACTAATATTTAGGTTGGTGTTTTGGTCGGCCCACCATTATTCGAAGCGTTAGATGATAAATTCGGTGCTTCTGCACTGACCATTCAAGGTGTCAATGACTACTCGGCATCCGTTCAGGGCTACCTGGCAGGAGGAGATTCTAATGGAAGCGCAGAGATGTATGTCCCAAAACGTGTTACCTACTTGAATTCCTTGAACATGACGGTAGCTGATACCAGCTATACAGGGCACGCCAAATCAAGTCCGCAAAGTCCCAATGCCCTCATACAAAATTGATCGCATCTGGCTACTCCCAAGGTTGTCAGATCGTCCATAAAGCAATTGCCCAGCTCGACTCTTCTACGGCTAGCTGGATATCCAGTGTTCTTCTCTTTGGAGACCCACGTATGTTAATCCCACAAAGGCTACTGTATCCGAAACTCGCTAACCAAGACCAGTGCAAGGGCAAGCCTTAAACGGTGTTTCCCAATCGAGAGTGTTTACAGCATGTCATGCTCTTGATGACATCTGTAAAAATGGTATACTCATTGGTCCTTCCCATCTCACTTATGCTGTGGATGTTGTCAGTGCTGTCAACTTTGCGGCTTCTAGGTAGATGTCCTAAATTAAGTACGAGTGTATTTTGACTTTTGCTCAAAAGTATGACGATAACACTCATTGCTCGGGACGGAGAGACATCATTATTGGAATAATTGTTTCCAGCATATGTACTTCCACAGAGAACCACACGATTATGAAATAGCACTTCTTTGTTTCGTACTGTATTACTAGCGATAAAAAGCACGACATTGCTCAAAATGAGTCAAATTTTAAGGAGACGTTCGTCTGGACAAAATCCAGCCCACTACGTTCACATATCCTGAACTTTTGATGACGGGAAATCCAATCACGAAGAACGCCGCCACCGCGAATTTCCATCGTCAATTAGTTGTAAAATAATTGAAGGGAAACCGGATCATCATTTCTGGAAAGATTAGATTCCTTCTCTTTAGCTCTTCAAGACTGTTTGTCTACGAAGAATGACCCTTGAACTGTCTCATACAGGGACCAGTTTTAGCTCAGTTTATAATAAACTTCCGATTAGCTTTCGAAAAACAGCTTCCCTGCCATCGGTTTACTGGATAGGGAATCAGCGGCCACTATTCCGTCAAGCACCACCAGCGATCTATTCAACGATGATGCTAAATGGGCATAGAGATCTCCGTCCTTGGGAGTCTCCGCACTGTCAAACTTGTCTTGGAACTGACGTGAATATGGTCCTTCTAAAATCTCTATTGCGTACTGAGACGATCGAGAAAGCACTGGTGAAGCGATGTCGGTGTTTGATGGAAGCTTCATTTAGCATATAATAAATAGGCTTCCATGCGGTAGATTGAACCTCTTCTACTTTTGTCCTCTAGCTCCAGTTACTGCGGTGAATGTCGCCGAATTGAACCTCTCTCTTTCTCTGGCCTGTAAAACATACCCTTGTCCTGGACCCGGAATTGTGCTCTTTTACCCCTAAGAATGAATAAGAGGAGGATTCAGGGCGCCAATGAACAATAGTACGTTATTTTACTGTAGGTTCTCCGAAGCGCATGTACAGGCATATTGGAGGGATCTATTGCTCACCCAGCCGTCGGGGATGGACTGCGTTTTCGCTCCGTATTGGCGCGATGATCGAAGATCAACAAAATGAAAGTCTTCTGTAGGCCACTGAGTATGGCTCTTATTTTGTGACGAGAATACCGATGGAAAGTGAAGCCCAGGTCGATGCTCTGAACGACTTGCCATGCACTGGCTGGGTTGGTCATGGCTAGAACAAGCTGTGCGCTCCAACAGAGCTCAGAGCTACTGAAAATTGTTTAGCAGCGATTTCATAAATGATTCAATTACGTGATATGGATAGGTTCGATCAATGCATCGTCCAAAATCCTACCTCACGTGGAGAGTCCTTGTGGAGGCGCATTTGCCCCACTGAAAACTGGCGTCGTTGGCCATGAGCTTTGTATTTTAATACGACCATGCGACCCCCTGATAAGCGGAATGTCATCATACATACATCGGCGTGCCTGATTGACAATTCATGAAGCTATGTATCAGAGCGTTAAAAATACCTCAATTAGGATCCAGTAGGATGCTGACATATTTTCGCATGGTGCCGTTTGATATGGACCCGAAGGGCTTCACGTAAATAAGCCTCAAGAATTAATCAGCCCCTTTCCAACCGAAAGTCATCAACAAGTCATAACACACGGTCTAATTGTTGCTAGAACTAATAATATCCTCCACATGGACACCGTACCCTGAGAACGATGTTGATAAGAATGTCAGCATTGTCAGCATGGACCAATTGATTCTGGGGGCTTTATGGCCAAGGAATTAGCCGAGCACAGACCCAACGAATTGGCTCGAACATCACCAATCAATGGCATCACCAGAGTCATCGATTATCCTAAAGAGGTTTAAGCCAGGGACCATTCTAAGACCGCTCTAAGACCGTTTCATAGGCGATCATTGGCTCATCTACTCCGTGATAGCCAGGCTAACGCTAGCTTAGTTCCGATGGGCTCTCGAGCAATTTCACGCAATGAGTACTTATCCTCGTGGCCCCCATATCTGTCTTTCAACCGACAAAGCTTCTGTTCCAACCTTCAGTCATTCATTCATTTTCATTTTTTTCTTCTTTATTTTACAATTTGCTTTGGTTTTTTTCAGGGGTCCCTCATTAGATTATCGCTCCTCGTCTTGTGTTTTCTAACTGCCTCATCTTGCTCGCATAGTGCGCTCTGAAAACACATCCACTGAGGAAAAAACACAGTCAAAAGAGTACAGTAATCAACATGATGCTCTCTGTGATCTCCTTGCTCGTCTTCTTGTTTTTGCAAGCCACGGCTATCGAAATCACCAGTCCTGCTGCCAACTCGACCTTCGCAGCAGGGTCCACCGTCACCGTTGAATGGACCAGCGTCGATACTGATCCCAACGAATTCAGTCTCTATCTCTGGAACTTTGTGTCTTGGCCTCCATCCTATGTTCCACTCGCCTTGAACGTCCCTACATCGGACCTGTTTTACTCTGTCCAGATTCCCTGCGACACCAATCCCGAATGGGGCTATCAGATTAGCGGCATCAACGGCACCAACGTCTACATCATCTACGCACAAGGTGACAAATTCACTGTGTCGGAGGCCGTCCAAGGCACTTCGTGTGTCGACTCTTCCCCTTTTCCAACGATTTCCACCTGCACTAGCGCTGCGGCGTCTACCGTTTATGTCACGGTGAGCCCTACCGGACCTAGCTCCCGTCATTTCCATCATTCATCCCACGTCCATCTCCATCCTTCTCCCAGCACCACCAGCACTTTCACCTCTGAGAATGTAAAGCCCGGAATTGTGCCTAAGACTATTGGTTGGTGCTCAGACTATTCCCACCCTGTGACATTGGACAAAGTTCCCACCCCGACTCCGTCCGCGGCCAACAATGAAGATGCCTCTCCAGCGGTCACCCCGGCACCGGGTGAGATCACTGGCACTGCTGGTATTCGTGTTAAGACCATCACTACTACTAGGAGCGTGGTGGTCTGTCCTAATCCAAATGGCAGTTAATGAGGGTGGAAAGTGCTTCATCGAAGGATTGCTGTGATTTCTTTACACCGATATGTTTTTGAGTTTAATATCTGTATAATTAGCTTTGACCATTCACTGGCCCCAAAATTCTCCACCATTGGCCGTACACATGCTGGTTGTAATCATATGTCTGGTAGAATTTTGTTCCCTTGCCTGTAAATTTACTCGTACACCAACAATTACTAACCACCTTAACAAAAATCAAAACTGACGAGAACAGAGACCCGAAATCTTCAAGGGTTTCGCTCCTATACTCATGATGAGAAATTTAGAGCCCAGGGGAGTGGACCAATCGGATAATTTTCATATAGCTCTGTATCTTCGTTTGGAAAAGGGTAAACAGAATCCGCCTTGAAATTCTTAAGACCGCGAGCTTGTAAACGGCATCGAAACGTTCACGAGGGTTCCCCCTGGCTTTTTATGAATGATAATATGCTTGGATTTCTTGGAAGTTTCTATTGCAATCTTTCTTTCGCGAGCTCATGGGTTGGAAGTGAGATTCTAAATTAACCTCTGGGGTGCTAGAGGTTATAGTAGGTGAGGTATCAGTTAATCTGATTGATGGATTTGTTATGATTTTCGATCGGAAACTCGGTCCACCCGGTCCCGTACCGGCAAATCCGTTCCACCCGCTAGAGCCATACATTAGCTGCATCCTTAGTGGATGATTTCCTTGGGTGCCTTACCATTAAAGTGGGGATTGAATAGCATTATTGTAGCACTCTTTCCGCACAGCTTCATATCATAGACAGACTTGACTGAACGGATAGACTACCGGAACATTTAGAAATGGCCAGTTTTTTCGCCGGAACGATGTCTATGAACAATTGCTGTGATAATTTCAATCTAATTGACCTGGGTGAGTGCATTAACGGAAAACCTGGATCATACGTCCTGAGCATTCAATATTAAGCGACTCGACTATGCTGTATCAGACTAGCAAAAAGAGTTCTGGCGATGCTAGCCAGAACCAGTGAAATTGCTCAAAAGGGAGTCCCACTGTACGTCGTCGACAGGAAATGTGTCGCCCAGATCGCCGTAGATAGACGGCCAGATGGAGGGTGTTAAAGCAATGTCATTGGCCTGAGCTTCCATCATAGACGGATCCTGCCTTGCGTCCTGGGAAGGCGCAAATCCAATGACTGCCTGGATTTGATGTGGATAACAACGTGCTAGCAGCCGCATTTTCGAGCAGATGCTCCCCACGATGTCCGCGTCCTTGGCTGCAGCAGACATTCCGTCGAGTCTTGTCTCTAATGCATTTGCAAGCTCTGTAATAAGACTGGGGTATTCTGCTGTATCAACAATAGCCCGGACTTGAGCTTCTATGGCAGAGTCAGTGGTACTAGCGATGAGTTTCAGAATGGCCAATATTGCAGTGGGCATGTAGCCCACTGCGGCACATATACGAGCACACGTAGTGATTGTCATTTGGGTAATTTCCGACGCTGGTAGGTTGCTGATCGCTTGAATCAGCTCCTTACTTCGCTGAGCCACACCCATCAGCATGGTTGTCCGGACTGTGCTACCGGGCTCTGCAATCCACAGTTCCTCCCGAAGACATAATTCCTCGAGCCGTATTTCCACGTATTTAATTTCAGTGCGAAATAAGTTCTCTGCAGCGGTCAGTCAATCCCAATTAATCATTGTGGATTCAAGACACACCTATCGACGAAGGGCACCCCAAGAGTTCCTTTTCTACATGTGCCCTCACATTATCGAATTGCCGCTGGAGGGTGCCGCGCGTAACTTGGACGAGAGCCCTCCCACCGCTTGGCTGGATTGAAGCGTGAATGTCGTCCATCATTGCCACGAATGTTTGCAAGTGGATGAAGGGCGCAATCCACCTGTCCGATAGCTGCTCGGTAGAGGCTATACTCTTAATACACTCATCCATTCGAGTATCATGCTTCATGACGATTGGCCGGCCGAGGATGCTACAGAGGCTGATATACAGTCAGCGAAAGCCGCATCCACCAGCGGAGATTTCCTCACCCAACCGACAGCCAATATGTACCGAGCAACGCCCGCTGCTCGTCTGTATTTAGACTTGGCTTTCTGTGAAGTCCCAAATCATACAAAACGGACATACAAAACTGAATCAAGAGCAAAAGTCGAGGGTGATGTCTCTCTGCTGGATATGAGTACCACGCACTGTGGACCAATAGACCACGAAGCAGCTCGAGATTTCTCTCAGAATGCGCTACCAGTCTTTGCGTAATGTGGTTCATGATCTCATCAGCGACGGTTCTGCGCATGGGATGCGAGCTGCCTATGGTCGCTGCGACGACACACAGAAAAAGAAATGGTTCCCGGGCCTTGAGGCTAGCGGCCGTTTCGTTGTGTGCAATCACAACAAACGGAAACTTGTATACCAATTCAAGCTGGAAAGTCTTGAGTAGGCGTTCAGCCTCAGCTTCACTCAGAAGCCCTCGATCTACGATAGAGGGCTGGCCCGCTAGAACAGAGCTGGTCGGCGGATGAACACCGTGGGACGGGTCATTAGCAGCCTCTAGTAGCACAGGAATGTCTGCCACATGCAGCTCGGTGGTATGAGATGAGCCTAGGTCGTCGGGGAAGGAATTGGAATTAACGGGCGATGTTCGCCTGTTCTGTTGGGTCAAGGCAGCTAGCTGTGACATCAGCTGGTCGACCTTCTTCTCTAGCACATCCACACGGCTAAATCCGCAGTCAATACCGGAATTGCGTTTTCTATTAGGGATAATTACCTTGGTGAGGGCTTGTGCCTCCGCTTCGTCTGCGGAAGGTCAAGGTATGTGCATGACTTGCCCAAACGAGCGCACCGCTGACACATGTTCTCGTTCTGGGGTGTGCATTTCGCCTTGACAGCTGTGCACGCCACGCATGCTCTTCTCTTGACTGCGGGTGCTGTAGCGCTCATTATGGCACATACGGAGCCGGGGTAAAAACGGAGCGATCGGTTGCTGAGCAGTACATGAGCAGTGAGCAGTTAGTTAACTAAACTAGCTAACGTAATTTATGTGCAAGCGGACTAGCGGGCTACCCCACCAACTGGCCCTGGCCCCCAAAACACCATACTACTTAAGAATATTTTCCAACTTCATATTTCGATGTTTTAGGTTGATTACATGATCTCGAGGTATCCGAGAAAGGGATATATAATACTCGATTTTTTTATCGAGAAAATTTTAGGGCATACAAACATTGATGAGTGTAACAACATCACTCGTATGTTTTTGCCAGAAGTAATTGACTACTTTCTGAATATTGGTTACAGTTTAGTATATACTTTGCTAAGAAGCTACACCATGCTCATAATCATATATCAATGTGTTGTTGTGGCTGATGATGCATTGAGTTTTGAAAATCGGATGCAGTATGGCGTTCTGCGCTAGCCCGCTCGCCCGCTTGCGGAGAAACTACACAACCAAGCCGTTGGACCGGGAGAACCGGATCATCCGGTCGGTACGGTTTGTAATCCACGTCATTCATTCATTTCAATATAAAAAGGGATATAAACGAACGAGTATTATGATGGCAGCAACACTCAATCTATTTACTCATCATCAAAAAGATATTTCTGCTTTTCACTTTAAAAGTGACTGAAAGTACAGCATGTCCTCTTATGCTATCACCGGAGCCTCCAAGGGCATTGGTCGCGAGTTCGTGCGTCAACTCGCAGCTGATACAACAAAGACCGTCCTGGCTATTGTGCGAGACCCCACATCTTCTGGCATATCTGAGCTTGCCTCCAGACTCCCCAACGTACATGTTATCAAAGGCGATGTTACGGACCCAGACTCCATTCTCGAGGCTGCCTCAGCTGCAGCAGAGGTCACAGGCGGCAAGCTAGACGTACTTATCCATAACTCCAATGCTGTTGATGTGGCCACCATGTCCTTGAACCCGACCCAACTTCCCTTCGATGCGCAAGCAATTCGGCGAATTTTCGATCCGCCGTTCAGTACAGGTATATACGGTGGCATATGGACTACAAACGCCTTCCTTCCCTTGATCGAAAGAGGCACCCAAAAGAAGATTGTGCATATCTCCAGCGCCATGGCGGATCTGGATCTGATCAAGGCGACTGGCATCAGTTATGGCGTTGCGTACTCTATTGGCAAAGCCGGGATGAATGTTCAAGTCGCCAAGTACGCAGCGGAACTTGCTCCTAGAGGCATCAAGGTATTGGCGTTGAGTCCTGGGTGGGTGGACACGTGGGAGGGTAAGTGGCCTGTTGCAACCTTCACCGGAGTAATTATGGAAACTGATATGATTGCAGGAGAGAAGCCGCCTGAGGTAATGCAAGCAGAATCTGTCATGCTGAAGCAATTTCAGACAGCCGAGCCCGAACTCAAGGGGCAGATTCAACCCGAGGAGAGTGTAAGAAAGAGTCTCGAGGTGATTGGACGTCTTGATTCTAAGGCCAGCGGCTTTCTCTTGAGCCACAATGGAACCAGGGGAAAGTGGCTTTGATAGACACCGTGTACTTGTATCGGTAGCTGAAACGAACTGGGATGGTCTTGAATTGACAATAAATTGATTCTGTACCTAGCATGATATTCCTCTACTGGGACGGACTACTAAAGGCTGATGAAAGGGTCGAGCAGCATGCTTGTCAACTGATGTTTGATGCAAGGTTCCTCTAGCCTACGAAAAAGAAGCTTCCACGTGGTAGATAAATCTTTTTTTCCTTTCTCCTCTATATTTGGTAACTTAGTTGAATGGCAACAAATTGGACCTTTCTCTTTGCCTGGCTATTAACGTTTGGACGCAGATCGACTGCTTCCAAGGACGCTTCCAAGCTATCATGGTAGAGAGGGTAATGAAACCAGTACTGAGATATGATAAATCACACGGAAGCATTCAGCTAGAACCAATACCTAAACACCGAGTTTGCTCTCTTGGATTCCTCGTATATCAAGGGGTTTGCTGGAGATGCATATCAGAGACTCCATTTCCTTATACGCAGTATCATATTTTACCGTTCACTCTTTCCATCAATGGCATTGCCGCTTTTTGTGTCATCTGCTGTGAACCATCGCCTCCGTCATTTTGACAAGGGTGGGAATCATAGCATCGTTCAGGCCACCCTCTATTTCAAGTTCTGAGTCAACCCAGTCAGAGTGTTTATGTCTACCTTTATCGGCTAAATTATCTATGATTAGCGGCACTCTTAGATGAGAGGAAAGTTCCAGATTAGTATCTATCAAATTGCCTTACCTGTCCTGATGCGCATCGGTAGATTATTATTGCGTCTCATATGCTTACTTAACGAAGTCAGCAGGACCGTGCATGCCCGGCTGAGATCTGCCAACTTTGAGAGCTTGGCATACAGACTAAATCCTATATCATTAGTTTGTACAAGGATTCCAAGGATGAAATTTGTTCACTCCATATTCGTAGCTACTACGCATAGCCGCATTCAGCGAATGCTTCCCGCGCCATGAAGCCGGCTGTTGATAACCACGTAGTAGTCCCCATGGGAGATGGTTACACGAAGCCTCGTATATGCGGTGCTGATGCGATGCATGTGCAATACACATGCAACGCAGGGGCATAGCGCGATGATGATCGCCGATGATAGAATGTTCATGTGATAAACTCATTATCCACATGACTAGAGAAATAGTAGGGGATAGTGATTTCCAGGAAAAAGTTTGAATGCCTGGTGCATCAAGCTAAAAGAATTGCCAGCAGTTAAGACTCAAAAGTAGGCTCAATCACTAACATTAGTTATCTAGTCTAACACCAGACTAGTACTCATCGGGGGCAACACCCTATGTACACTATGTCCTCATTAAGGATGACCAGTGAGCCTTCCTACGATTGGATCTTCGATCGCCTTTCTTATAAGGTGATGCTGGAACCTGAAGGCTGAGTTAGTCACAGTTTTGCAGTCTATATAAGGGCTTTCGAAAATTTATCCTCTTATTGATCCCGTAGGATGGGATCAAAAAAGATTGAGGTAGCCAGAGTTAAGCTTCCATTGCTTAATCCAAAGAAATACATAAAATACAAATAGTTGTTTGTCACTATATATCTCGAAATTTGTCTCCAATATATACCCAAGCCAGTATTTCCTCGGCTCCCTCAAACCTGAGTATTGCATAACATCATGATACATTTATTCAACAAGCAAGAACGTCATATTCAACTCTGAGCACCCGAGAGTGAGCTCTTCTCAGGGAGCGCAGCTCCATCAGCAACGACTTCAAAGTTGTTGGAGCGAAATGGAGTGACCTTAAACTCAGAAAACTTCCTAGCTGAGACCTTCTTCTCAAACAAAATGTCGAGTTCAGACGCAGTGCGGCCATTTGGCTCAGGGAGGCGGAAGAATGACCAGACAAAACAAATCATACAGAAGGGCGCCCAGATGAAGCCTCCTTTGCCCTTCAAGTTCCAGGCAGTGGGGTTGAGAATAGGGGGATTGAGGAAGTTAGCTATGATACTTGCGATGTTGTAACAGTTGCGGGCAAGTACTGCGCTCTTGATTCTCAGCCGCGTGGAAGGAATCTCGGAAATGAGACAGTAAGTGACAGGGCCGACCGTGAGATCGTAGGTGAAAACAAACACCAGGAGGAGGGCAGCTGACGAGTAGCTAAGACCGGGAGTAATTTGGCTTGGGATACCCAGAAAGCCCACCAACATCAACACGGTGAACATAATGCCAAGTCCAGTAACAAAGAGCTTTCGCCGACCAATTCGCTGCATCACAAACCATGAGCACACCGTACCGCACCATCCAATAGCATTGACACCAAGACCGAAGTCAAATGATTGGTCGCTGCTGAAGTTGATTTGCTGCAGGAAATAGACAATATTGCCGCCGTACCATATACCGCAGAAGACTTGGCACATCCACACGCAGCAGACAATCTCGGTACGACGCCGGTCAACTCCTTTCAGACAATCCCAGTAGCTTACACCCTCCCGTATTAGCTTCTCATGGGTGTTCGTGATAATCATCAGTGAGACAGCGTCATCCGTGTCATACTCAGAGTTACCAGGACGGGCCAATTTGGTAAGCGATCGCTTTGCTTCGTCAATCTTACCGTGACGGACCAACCACCAAGGAGATTCAGGGGCAAAGAGAACACCGACGATGATCGGAACAGGCCAGACCCATTGAATAGCATAGGGAATTCGCCAGCCCCATTCATCCGTGCGGCCCAAGAGACCTCGCAAAACTCCAGTTGAAATGAATTGGCCAGTGACCCAGCACAGATTCACATAAGTGGTCAGATACGGACGCAGGATTATAGGGCTAACCTCGGCGGCATAAGTAGTTGTCAAGGTTTGGAACGCACCCCAGGGGATTCCACAGAGAACCTCACCCGCGAGGAGCATTCCAATGTTGCTGGCGAAGAACATGATGAAAATAAACCCGATAAGCGAGACCAGAGCGCCGAACATTGTCTTTTTGTAGCCCCATCGATCCGCAATGATACCGGCAATAAGAAGACCCAGTATTTGTCCCACATTGGTCGCGTTTTGTAATCCAGTTTGCCAATTTGATGTGACTTGATAGCCACCTTCCTTAGAAGGAACCCCAAATCGCTTCTGGAATGTCGGGTAGGCATAAAATGAGCCGAGCAGAGAAGTGTCGTATCCCTCCATAATGATGGCAAGAGACAACACAAACGAGAAAACAACTGCCTTCGGGAAAAGCCTGAATGCATCCCAGTTGGTCAAGTTGTGTTCAAATGTGGACGCCCGACGGGCTTTCTCGACCAGATTGGCGAAGTCCGGAATCTGCTCAGCCATTTGCAAAAGGACTTCATCTTCGATAGCGATGGTATTCTCCCCAAGCGATTGAGAGGGCACGGCGAGGCTTTGCTCAACATGGCCAGCCGCTTTAAGATCGTGCATTTTGATCTATTGGGCCGCAGGACTCCGAAGTACTAGTTGAAAGGCAGAAAATATGAAAGAAAAGTGGAGATCAGAGTACCTTGAGCTCAATAAGGGATAAGCTTAGTAGAAAATAAATAGATGGGGAGGAAAATGGGGTTTATATCACTGTCTCTTACCGTCGTGCAAAAAGGACTTCAAATTTTGCAGACCTTAATAAACAAGCCCTCGATTATGCGCCACCAGGGCGAGAGAACTTTTCCTTTGCGGGGTAAATTGTGGGGGAATCCGGTTGTCAGACACCATCTCGAGATTTACTTTCGAAAATGGCGGGACGACTGGCATTTTGAATATTAAGTTTGATAGAAAAAGAGAGTAAAAGATGTGATTGGATTGCTCTCGTTTTTTCTTTCGCTGTGTTTCTCGCTGTAACTGTGTCGACACGTGCGAGAGGCAAGGTCAATAATGTTGAGAATTCGATTAAATTCGGTGGCGTCAGCGAGACTGGTCACGCTGTATTCCTTAATAAAGGTAAGTTCACCAATAGCGGTGCTATATTCGCTTTTAAGCGCACAGACTAGGGTTTCATGATCAATGTCACAAGACGGTTTGATAATGGACTCAGAGCTTCAGCGAAGTTAGAATCTTTTGTTCAGATTGCACTAGCTCAGCCACAAAGACACCGAAACGAGCGACAAGGAGCCCAGAATAAGCTTTATCGTTCGATGCAATTCTCGCAATATTTAAGCCGTTCGTTCATCGATCTATGTTAAATTGGAGCGAACGGGACGACAGTGGTTGCGTATGTCGCAAGCTTTTTCAGCCTGAATACACCCCGTGGCTTGAGCACATGACTTGCAGAAGAGTTTGAGATAACTAGATACCCAAGTTACAGTACATCGGGATTATATGTATTTAAGTTATGCGCTAATCAAATGATAACTTTAGATCTAAGATCGACAGATCATCTAAGATCATCAGATCATGTTAAATCATCAGATCATCTTCAATCCCCAGATTTTCTTGACTCATAACATCATCTTGAATTGATCTCCGCATTGTGTTGCATTTCCTAGGGGTCTTTGCGGGCTTTCTGTCTTGCGTACTTCATCAATAGAGGAGAAAAGTGAATAGCGACCACTATATAATGTGCTTGGAGATGGTCTCAGGCTAGATAAAAGCATCTCCACAAGATAGCAACCATCTCCATACCAAAGGAAATATAGTGTCATATCTCTAATCATGCATTTCTCGCAACTACTCTTATTTGCCCTTTATACTCCATTTCTCAGTACAGCGGCTGTGATAGGTCAGCGATCAAGCACTACTACGACTGCCGTGCAGTCCACCGCTACCAGGGCTGTATTTGCTCACTATATGGTACTTGGGAATTATCATCCACGATATTCTAATATGTTCCTAATTATCAATAGGTCGGTTCGATGACCTCGGATGAGGCCGTGACTGACATTCAAGATGCTATGAATGCCGGATTTGACGGATTCGCCCTTAATACCCACACTATCAGTTCTTCTGACACATGGAATACTGATGCACTTAACTACCTGTTTACCGCGGCAGCAGGGACAAACTTCAAGCTATTTATTTCATTCGATATGAGTTGGGGTTTAGATGTTACGCAGCTTGCAGCTTTCTTGGCACCCTATGCCTCTAAAGACGCATACTATACGATCAACGGGAAGATTTTCATAAGTACCTATACAGGAGGTACCATATCAAATTCTGCCTGGAAGTCGGGACTCATTGATCCTCTTACATCAACCTACGGCATCAATCCGTACTTTGTTCCCAACTTTGGTGACTTTTCCGGTTATCCGACCGGTGTTTTCAGTGCCTATCCCATCTTGAACGGCGTCTTCAGCTGGGAGTCAGCATGGCCATTCCCTGGAACCACCCCTGTCAATGTCAGTGACACGGTAGATTCAGCTGCCTTACAGGAGGCGCGTGCCGCTGGCAAGACCTACATGATGCGTGAGTCAATCTAATATCTATCATCACATTCGTAAGAGTTTAAGGCTAAGAAGAGTTCAAAAAAAGCCTTATCGTCTTTCCAGTTCAAGTATCTCGGCAGTGATCAAGACTGGTATCGTATAGGGGAGGTCAATTTGCCTGAGCGCATGGGCCAGGCCCTGCAGCTGCAGCCCGACTTTGTCGAAGTCATCACCTGGAATGATGCCGGAGAGAGCCACTACGTGGGCGACGTCTGGCAAGAACAAATTGCCGGCAGTGCCATCGGCAAGTATAGCGACGGCTTCGATCATAAGGGATGGTTACAGATGATTACACCCTTCATTCAAGCTTTTAAAGCTGGTGCAACAAGTATTTCCCAGATCGCCCCACCCAGCACTAAGCCCGTCGGAACCCTCTGGTATCGAACACTTTTGACCAGTGCCAGCTGCTCCTCGTCTATTTCCAACTATCAATCCGCTCGTGATACAGTGAATTTTGGCGTGATTCTTCCTTCTACTGGCTACACAATCAACGTGTACAGCAACAGCAATCTTATTGGCACCTTTGCGGGTCAGAAGGGATTGAACTACAACAGTGTAGTAGGTCTTACAGCTGGTAGTGGGCAGATGATCGAAGTGCTTGATAGTTCGAATAAAGTTGTTGCTTCAGCCACAGGAACTAAGAGTGTTTTGGCTGAAAGTTCAGACGCAACTTGCAATTGGAACTATGAAGTTGTGGGTCTCTCTTGAGATGATTTGAGTGAGAAGCTATTGGAGAAATTAGCTCTTTGCCGTTTGGTCTCTGCTTTTGGTACAGTATGAAGCGTGATGTGACGATCATAAATGTCCATGCACTCTTTCATGGCCATTTCTATAATACGCACGTATTACTGACGGTCTTTACTGAAATCGAATCAATCTATTTTTTTTAATTTTATCTACTCCACTCCATGTTCTATTGCCCGTCCCTACTAGAGGACTCCATTGCCCATGCTTTGTACCCAGAGGGGATATCGACTACGGGCGTTTCCGCTACACTGGTGGTGTTGATTTTGGCCCCGATTCATTCTCCCCAGTCTTACTCATTCGTGCCTCAACCAGTCGGTTTTGCTCAGACTGCCACTAGCACATCACCCACCCCTTACACAAATTGGCATTATGCTTTACCTATGGCATAATTAATTTTTGACTTACTCAATGGCTTCGATGAATATGCAATTCGGGTATTGATGAAACAAACACAGAAATTTCAATGTGAAGGCTCTCACTGGGTGGTTTCATTTTCGGACCTGGAAATATTGAGTGTTAGAGTAACACAGGGTCCCCCAACAAATGGTTTTAATCCATTCTATAATATTGATTCAGGCACCTCCTCCTGTTCAGAAAGTTGCAACATGGGCGGCAAGGTGATTGAAGATGGAATTTGTGACAAGCGTTGGTGTAGTAGATATAGCCTCTCTGATTTTATTCCTCCAACCTGTGACAGTAATTTTTCCATTGCAAGAATAGCATCAAATGGACCAATACGACAAGTCTCAAGGTTTAGAAGATTAGGCATACATAGCATGAAGTCGAGTACAGAGTTCGCGACTTGGAGAAGCTTTATCTCCTATACGAAGAGGAATGTATTAGGGACGCATGTTTATAAAATTCGATGAAAGCAAACTTGAATTGCTTACCATGCCGTACCCATGGCTACGCAGAGAGCTTATGGATACGTGGGAAAGGGCTTCCAAATAGTCCTTGGCGATGGATAAGGGATAGTCAAATGATAATGGCTCGATAGATGTAGATGAAGAGAGCATGAAGCGAGAAGCTGAGTACTGCCATAGCAACGAACGGACCCATGCTGAAGTAGTCAAAATATCCACATAGCGTATTTCGGAAATAAGTTCAGGCCTGGGCATCTTGACTTGTATTTCTTGTTGAATGTCCGATAACTCATCCCTTGTATACACATCTGTTGCCTCTATAGCCTTACTTGTCGTCCGGGGTAGGAAAAGAAGACGTTGCACATGCAAGAACAATTGTACAAGAGTACAGAATCCTGCATAGAGATTCCCGCGGGAGCTATCGTCCTCGATTTCAGGGAGATTCGATATTCTGTGAAGTGAAATTGGGAGATCGTGCTGGATGCAGAATGTTCTGTTCCAGTAATCCGAGTGTATCCATTAGATTAGAGATGTTTGATTAAATCGCAGAAAGCTAATGAACTGACCTTTCCGTCACGAAGAGAACCCAATAACATCGAAGTTCCAGTTGCCACTGCTTTGAGTGTACTGAATCAGATGGGGATGTATGGCATAGATGCATTAGGTCTGCGTAGGTGATTGCCTCACGAAGCGATATTGTAGCCGGTGTAACTTGATCTCGATTGGCATAGTACATATGAAGGAAGAGGGATGTAACCAGAGCTTCAAGGGATGGCTCTTGATGGTAATAGTGTTCTAGTCGAATGCGAAGACATTCTTTGGCAAAGTCTTCGGCTGTCGCAGAGAGATCTCTAGGGCAAGGAGTTGGTGTGAGCCCAAGGCGAAGTTGTGCCAATGTCGCAGCACACAAGGCAGCTGCTAAAGCATGTGAAACCGGGTCAGTATCCGAGCTTTTCAGTTGGCATTTTAAATGCTCAACATCGGCTATCGGCCAAATATCATGAAGGCGTGCTTGAAAGACATCGAGTACTTCGTTATAGGAGGCAATCGAGATGCGAGAATTTGGGGCGTGAATGACTGCGCTTTCGGCCGCTGGCATCAACACCGGAGTTACCATTTCAGCGTTTGCTGTGGTTTCTCGTTGGATCTCTTCAATCTTGCGGGTGGTATCTGACCGAGGCCCTTTCGGGCCGGGTCTTTTGCGAACTCTGAAATAAGTACAAGTTTGTTGTCTAATCACGCAAGTCTGACATGGACGCTGCCGATCACACTTTACCCGCCGTACAAAACAACCGTCACAGGGGCTCGCCATGACTTTTGACAATATTCGATGATTACCGGAGCTGTGAATGCATGTAGGAATTAGAGCGAGAATTAAATCATTGACTCTGTTCGTCGGATTCCCCGCTTACCCACAGGTCTTTTGGTGGCGTTTGGACAAATGCGGGGTAGAAAAGTGAGACAATCCAATTGAAATTGAAGTACGAGTCGTGGCTCAAGCGCTACGACGGACTGTGCACAGTCCGACCACTCCGCTCTAGTTTGATCCGTTTATTCCAGCGAAAATTTTAGCGAGTTCAACTTCCCGGTATTACTCAAATCCGACAGTAGGGATGCAGTAATGCTGGAAAGGGTTCTAGATATTAGATGTCTATATATACGAATCACTCTGATCCATCGAAGTAAAGTATAGAACATCCTCGAGTCTAGCACGCAAGTGTTTGACCATGCATCGCTATTCCTTCCCACATACTCCAGTCGCTCATCCCGAGGCGATAATTGGTGCTGGCAAGTATCGATTCAGTGTTTTGACTGACGGCCTCCTTCGTTATGAATGGGCTGAGGACTACCAATTCGAGGATCGCGCCTCGGTTCTTGCTATTAATCGCCGGTTTCCAGTACCAGAGTTTCGCATTAAAGAAACCCGAGACAATCTTCAGGTTCTTACTTCTCGATTCCACCTTACTTACGACAAACGAGAATTTTCTCCAAATGGCCTTAGTGCCGTCATTAAGGGAAGCTATGGGCCCCATGTCAGCGTCTGGCGCTATGGGATCCCTACTTCAAATCTCGGCGGTACAACCCGCACCCTGGACGAGGCCGATGGCCGAGTTTCCCTAGATCAAGGCGTTATTTCTAGACAAGGCTTTGCGACATTGGATGACTCGACTTCGATGCTCTTTGATGATCGACAGTGGGTGACTCCAAGATTACCTGGAAATCGTGTGGATGGCTATCTTTTCGCTTATGGTCACGACTACCAACAAGCCATTCAGACGTTCTATCTTCTATCAGGGCCCCAACCACTCCTTCCACGATGGGCTCTAGGGAACTGGTGGAGTCGGTTTTATCCTTACACGGCAGATGAATATTTATCGCTGATGGATCGATTCCGTGAAAATGAGATTCCACTCTCAGTCGCCGTACTGGATATGGATTGGCATCTTGTGCAAGATGAGCGTATCAAGAAAGCAGGAGTGACAGGATGGACCGGTTACACCTGGAACAAGGAACTTTTCCCGAATCCCAAAGCTTTCCTCGCAGAACTCCACGATCGGGGCCTACATATATCTCTAAATGATCATCCAGCGGATGGTGTGCAGAGCTACGAAGATCTCTATGAAGAGATGGCCATTGCTCTACACCATGATGCGTCCATGGGTGATCCTATCTCTTTCGACATCACTAATCAAGCCTTCTTGGATGCGTTCTTTGATGTGCTCCACCGGCGAATTGAGAAAGACGGATTGGATTTATGGTGGGTGGATTGGCAGCAAGGGTCACATTCCCGTATCCCCGGGATTGATCCACTTTGGGTGCTCAATCATTACCACTTCCTAGACAGCGCTCTTAATAACAAGAGGCCCTTGACTTTTTCGCGATATGCGGGCCCAGGAAGTCACCGTTATCCTATTGGATTCTCCGGCGATACCGTGGTATCATGGGACTCTCTTCGTTTCCAGCCAGAGTTCACAGCGACAGCGTCAAACATTGGGTTCGGGTGGTGGAGCCATGATATTGGTGGTCATTTTCACGGGGAAAAGAACGATGAAATGCTCATTCGATGGGTGCAATACGGCGCATTCTCCCCTATCTTGCGACTCCACTCTTCGAACAATATTTTCAGCATCAAGGAACCCTGGAATCTCGATTCACAATATGAACAGATCATGACAGATTATCTGCGGCTCCGCCATAGACTGCTTCCATATTTATACGCGATGAATGTACGCGCTGCTATACAGGGTCTACCTCTTATCCAGCCCATGTACTGGGGCTACCCGGAAAGCGAGGAATCCTACAACGTACCAAATCAGTATTTATTTGGCACGGATCTCATTGTGGTACCAATCACTACTCCTCAAGATCACCGATCTCGAAGATCTCAGGTCCTCGCCTGGCTTCCCCCTGGCAGGCATGTGGATATTTTTACAGGGATGGTCTACGATGGAGACCGTCACATTTGGCTTAATCGACGCCTGAAAGATTACCCGGTATTTGCTGCCGAAGGAGCGATCATCCCCTTCGACGCAGCATCAGCTCTCACCAATGACTGCGCAGATTCTTCCAAAATCGAACTCCTGGTTGTTGTCGGGGCAGATGGCAATTTCGAACTTGTGGAAGACGACGGAAAGGGACAATGCACGGATAAAATTGCGTTCCGCCGAACTCGTATTTATTTCAATCAAGAGGCTGGTGAGCTGCACATTGGGCCTACAAGTGGTGGGACCATTCTCTCACGAGTCCGCCAGTGGAGCGTTCGCTTCCTCGGTTACGCATCACTGGAGATGATCCAAGTTTATGTCGGAGATAAAGAACGCATGGTCAATGGCCAGTGTATGAACAACGGTCTTCTTGTTGACTTAGGATCTCACAGTGAAGGTGCGCACATTGTGGTGAAGTTAAGAGGTCACCCTGCTTTAATGACGAACCGGCCCGGGCCTCAAATTATCGAATTCTTGCGTGATGCTCAAATTGGACTGGATCTGAAGGACGGCATTCGGAAGATTGTGGAACGTTCGGTATCTATATTGTTACAGATCGGCGACCTTCATGCTCTTGGCCTGGACAGCGTGCTGTTGAATCCAATTCTTGAGTTTCTCTTAGCTGACTCCCGGATTGTATTGACTAAAGATAACTAAGCGACCGGGTTCTCGGTAATTGACGGATAACTCACATAATCATTATCATATCCTTGGCCTTGAATTTGAGATTCATTGTAAAAGTGCGCTGAGAGCTAACAAGCCTAGAGAGCACAATTTTGGCCTATAAGAAGAGAAAAAAAGGCTGCCTTGAGCTGAAATTAATTGACAAAGTGGCCAGAGATGAATCTCAAATATCCCCTCGGCCTAAATAATGGCTTCTGATAAACATATATTAGTACTTGTGTCACTCCACTTGATTTAGTCCATAATTAGTTAAATACTACTTCAATTAAATATTATCCGTCACCATGATGGCCTATAGATAGTTTTAAGAATCTGGGGTCTGGTTATCGAGAAGTATATTCCTGACAATTTGTGGCGTTCCTCCTCCATTCTAGTTCTCACTAGGCATAAATCTTGGTATCACGATCTCATCAAGGGCAAGATAAATATCCAGGGACGGCACTTTAACCGTATGTTGTAAAGTCCTTGCTCCATTGTTCGAATAAATTAATAGCACTGACTTTTCCGAATCCCTTTGTTTTGGTGTTGCGAGTAGGGCCATAAAATGGATTTCCTCCATTATGATATAAAAATCCATCCACCTGTTTTCCGTACTAAGTAGTACCTCCTAGGCAAAGAAGACCTCACTCACTGCCGAGAACAATGTGTGGTTCATAATACTACTAAAGGCTCTTCTCGCGAATCTTGGTGCGTAACTCTACCAGGAAAGGTGAAAGATTGCCGTTGTTAATAGCCGCCATAAAACGTTAATTTCATAGATTGAATTGTTGACAGTAGCCTGGAAAGAATTTTAACTAGATCAAATTAGTTAGTTAGCTGACAATGAACCGGGATGATGTAAGTTGGCGAAGCTTGGACCATTTATCGATAGGGAGTATAATCTCATAAGATAAGGGCGATAATTATGGGTGGCTCTATCGATTAATGATAATCGTCTAGTCCTATTGTTAAGAAAGTGAAATTTTCTAAGTCTATTTTGTTACTTAGGAATTTCGCGGACCCTTACATTGCGGAAGGTCCTCTGGTTCTCCGTAGGTTCGCTTTCACTAGTTATTATTGAACGATCTAAGCGACTAAAGCCCGGTCTTTCTAGTGCTACTAGATAATGATCGTATTCCGCCTAAAGACGATCTAAGATAGTTAGCGAAAGTATCTAGTACTACTTCTACTATACTATACTCTCAACTTACAGTGGCCAACGTATAAGATAAATTTCCTTTTAAGGAACCAAAACCAAGCTAGGTTGTTGGACAGCCCTCTAACCATGCCCTCTTTATTCCACTGTAACCTCCCGCGTACGCCATATACCCTGCCGGCTGCTGTTGCTTTCCACATCAAAATCTATATTACTGTTGGTGTATTTTCGAGGTCCTTCCGAATCAAAGGGGTTCTGTGAATGTGAAGGCTTAGATGAGAGCTCAAAGGTAGAACCTGAGCGGCTCCTCGAGTTGGCCGCATTCGTGGAAACCTTAGAAAATTTGAATTTTGTGCGAAAGAATGGACGGAGCGTTGGGACACAGGCGGCGACAATGACAACATTTTGCTTAATACTACCATGGACGTTAGAGACTGTACAGCGGGTACATGGGGGAGAAGACTAACAGGCCCCAAAGAACTAATGGTACCACAATAAAAACTACCAAAAGTTAGCCAAATATCCGAAAACACTAAATGTATTCGCGCCATGCCCCGGGGGGGGGGCTCATAGTTAAAAAAGTCTTGGCGGGGGGGGGGGACCGAGAATTTCTTGCCCCCCCCCCCTAAGTAGGTCAAATCTTGAGATAATTTGATCGGGTCTTTTGGATTATTTATCAGAAGGATCTAAACTATCTTTCTGTCAAATTAGATTATAAGATTTCTACCTAGAAGGGGTGAATTCTTAAGGATTTGTGGTTGGTGAATTAATTTTTGATGGGGTGCCGGCCGCGGGTAGCCTTAGCCGTTAGGCCACTGTCAGGCCACGTTCAGGCTACTTTCAGGCCACGTTCAGGCTACTTTCAGGCCACTTTCAGGCCATTTCAGGCCACTTCAGGCCATAACTAGTCACCAGTTGGCTATGAAGAAGATCGGTGATTCTATAATATCTAGCTAATTAGTAGAGGAATAACTGCCGGGTTTGAATTTCTTGGTATGAGAGCCCTCTAACTATAAGATGAAGAGGTCTAGCTTATGTAAGCAGGTCGGATGCGAGGGGTGAGTAGGTATAAACCGATCAAAACTTTTTGGTTACTAACTAAGCAGAAATACTATAGTGAGATAGAGCTCGATAAGGCGGTCAGATTGATGGTAGTAGTATAATATTTAGCCCAGTATTAGTAGAGATACTAGCCTTTAAAGTTTAGATAATATATAGAAGAGAAATCTGATAAAGACCCCTAGGTAGGCAGGTAGGGAGGTAGGAAGATAGACTAGAAATCTTGATTCTTTAGCTACTAAAAATTTCTAGAGGAGGGCTAGGGGGGCGCTAGGCGGGCTAGGGGGCGCTAGATAGGCTAGGGGGCGCCTAGGGGACCTTTTCGCTATACCTAAATCTCGCTAGTTAGTAGGGCCTAGTGTTACGCGTAGCCAACTGGTCACTGTGAGTAAGTGCAGAAAGGGCGATAGTTACCTGAGTCGTTGTTGTAATCGAGTACAACAACGATATGTGCTGTCACGGCTGAGTCCAGCCCTCTCGGCACAACTTCGAATTCCAAGAGTATCTCTCAATCGTACCGTTGCCTCGTAAGGCCTTACTGCGGGATAGATCCTGTTGAGTATCTTGCAGAACGTGCCAGAAGTGCGCGCTAAGTAAGTTAATCACCAAGTATTGCTACTAAGTGAATCCCCTACTTATAGGTTGGGTTGTCTTAAAGGTGAACTGTGAAGTGCAAAGTACTAAAGGTAGTAACCAAGTAACAATGTGCAATTGATCGCGAAGAACTAAATACATAATGCCAAATGAATGTCCTTATATATCCAGTCCTTCCTATCCGGCGATGAGTCGTCCCGTCCTGTCGTAGGATGTGCCCCATCCCATAGTGGGATGCGCCCTATCCTCCGATAGGATTGGTTACGTGGTTACCTAATCGAGTAGTCCGTCGTGCCGGAACTTTCCTAGTATATATATAAATACACACACAGGATAAAGTCCGCCATAAGGACACAGTGTCCTTAATCACCCTAAGTGATCACTAAGCATGATCGTGTAAGATGCCCTCTTACACTAACCCACTTTGCTCCTAGGAGCCCTTTTTGTATGTAAACCTACTCCTAGGAAGCACATATATAATACGTCTCATTGGTTGCACGTGACTTATGTAGGTGTTCCCGTTCTTAAGGGCTTAGTTAGCTGTCGCTGCCCCCCGCGGGTTTCTAACGGTCTGCCTCGTAACATCATCCCCCCTCTTCTTAAGCCGATGTCCCTAGCGGCTATAAGTAGCGTCCCCTCCCTAGGTGAGTCTGATTTATGTTTGTTTTTTCTCTTTTTCCCTCGTTATGGCTAGCGTCCGAAAGGGTAAACTTCATCGGCTGATCGAGGAGGAAGGTTTCTAGTCGGTGGCGCCCTACGAGCGCTGCGTTCGTCTTTCTAAGATCTACGTCCGTTCCGATCGCTCTGATCGTTGTAGCTACTACGTCCGTGCCGGTGGTAGTGTTAAGTGCGTGATGCCAGAGCTAATATTTTCAGATGCTGAATGGTGTCGTTTGGTGAAGTTTCAGAGTACTCTCGAGGTAGAGGAGGAGGAGGCCTTAGCTAAGGTCCTTCGTCTGCGGAAACAAAAACGCTTATTGTAAAAGCGTGCTTACGACTTTATTACTCGTGAGTATAAGGAAATCGCTAAGTTAGAAGAGTTAGAGCGTCGCGAGGTTGAAGAGCGCGAGCGTCTCGAAAAAGAGCGTATTACTTCTAAGCAAAAAGATCGTGAGGTAGAGAGTGCTCGTACCGCGGGCGAGGCGCCTCGATCTACTATTATAGTTAACGACCGTATCCTTACGGCGACGTCAGAGGATCCTACTCTGACTCAGTTGCTGAATAATCCATCGTTTTCCTAGGCCGACCTAGACCCCTCCTAGTTAGGTAAGGCCGCTAGGTCCCCTTCTTCTGTCGGTGGAACTGTTAAACCAGCTGGTAGTAGCCTATTAGGTTCTCGATAGGTTCCTATATATTCTCCGAGGTATCGTATCCTTTCCATTTCACTAAGTAGTGAGGTCTTCCGCTAATTTTGTTAGCATCTAGGATTTCCTCGACCTTATATTCGTTTTCTAATATTTCTTCGACTTTAATATTAGTAGCGATTTCGGCGTTCTTAGGTACTTTTTCTAATAACGAGATATAAAACGTTACATAGATACGTCGTATACTATCAGGTAGCTTTAGTCGATAATTAAGTAGTCCTGTTCTTTCTTTAATTTCGAATGGTCCTAATTTTAGGTGGTCGAGTTTCGCGCTAGGTCGTCTAGTGCGAATATTGCGTCGTAAAATGTAAACTTTCTCCCCCCTTTGAAAGTCCGGCGCCTCCTAGCGCGATTAATCGTAGTAGAACTTTATGCGTATATTAAGAAACTCGATATCCCTTAAAAGTTAGAGATACATTTGCTTCAACCTAGTCGCCAGTAGTCGAGATGACTCTGCGAGTAGTCGCTTACCGATTAGTTCTCCGAGAATAGTGGGATTAAACCCGTAATTCGCGAAGAATGATGTTTCTTTCGTGGTTGCGTGCATTGCATTGTTGTATACAAATTGTGCTATTAGTAGTAGTCCTGTCTAGTCGTTTTGCTGGTAGTTCACGTAGTGTCGTAGATACTACTCTAGAGTCTGGTTAACTCTTTCCGTTTGTCCGTTGGTTTGCGGGTGATACGCGGTAGAGAGTCTATACTTAATGCCGAGTTGATCCGCCAGTGATTACCATATATTGGATGTGAATAACTTATCTCTGTCCGAGGTAATCTTGCTCGGTATTCCGTGGTGAACGAACACTTATCGAAGTAGTATTTGT